TAGCTTTACATAAAGACAGCAAGCAGAGGTTAATACCTTGCTTTGCTTGAGATCCCTGGCCTTCACCACAAACTATCCCAGTCAGAGATGCAAAGCAACCATAAAGAGACGCAAAATGATGCTAAACGCCCACAAAGACATGCAAAAAAAGCAATAAAGAGACAAAACATCTGCTAAGAAATGCCAAACAACCAGGAAGAGTCACAAAACAACTGCAACCAGTTCCTAAACCAACACAAAAAGACAAAATAACTGTAAAGAAACACAAAATGACCGCACAGCTTGTGGTCATTTGGTTTCTCATTCAATGTGTGTCTTGTTGCCATGTAGGACAGTGAGAGGGCCTTTTGCATGTCTGTGCCCAGGGGCACGTTCTGCCACAGTTCATCCATGGTTAGCGTGCATTTCCACAGACAGAAAGAGGAAATTGACTGTACACAGTGGATAAAACTGTTCAATAACTACTTATGCTACTTGACTGTAGGAGGATTGAAATCATTTATTGTTGTAGAGAGCAAATACCTCAGAGAAGACATGAGATGAGTGTAATAGGGGCATCTTTCCATTCGTCACAGCTCAGATTGTTGACTGCTGTAAGCCCTGTAAAGACAGCTTAGGTTGCGCTTTGTTTGCATTTAAACATGGCAAAAAATACCTGTAGACAGACACTTAGACCTCTGTTTGTCAAAGTCTAGTGTTTCATAATGTAGAGGAAGGGATTTGGATATTTTGAGGCCACAAATCTCTGACAGCAGCACTAACCCCTCACGGGACTACCCAGTGTGGTTAAGAGACTTTTGTAGGGAATTGCCCCTCAAAACATTCCCATAAAATGTCCAGGAAAAATTATCAGCACCAAATATCTCACCTACCACAAGTCTCAGGGGAGCCCTGTGCAGTGTGGACATAAGGCCAGAGGTTACATTTAAATGACTCCTCTTTTACAAGGTAAGTTTTTCACACAGGTTGAAGAGGAAGGGGGTTAAGCCACAGGAATGTTTACCAATTTAGGACATGGAAAGCAGAGTATAGGAAAGAAGTAAGGAGTTGGAGGTCTGATGGTGACCACATCAGGGCCTCCTCTTTCAAAGGGTTCAAACAAGGCAAGAAGACCATGTTGATTTCTTATGGTGTTTGACCTGAATATCGAGGCAGCAGATTAACATGTCTGGACTGAGTGCACAAAAAAAATTAGAATCATCCTCCAAATACTGAATAACATTCACCTTTCTGGTCTGATAGTTGGCAGACTGTAATCAAATAGAAGGTCTTATGTTGTCAAACATTCACACTGCCAAAATGGGGCATAAAAAAGAATTCTATTAACACATAATCATATTTCACTCAGGTCAAGTCATTAAATCCCTTGTTAAGTTTTGGTTCAGCTTTTCATTAATTAGTTGAATATAAACAGAAATCAAAGGAGAGGAGCTTTTAGAACAGCTCTTCTGGAGTGTGCCTGTATTTCTCCAAACCACACTAATCCTGCATAAGTAGCGTGCTTGTCCAGCCCTGTCACTTTAGACATGTGGCTGGCACCCAGGTTGGCTTACCATGAAGAAGCAGGCAAGTGTTAGGTATCCGTTCTGCTGGCCTAACATCAGGAGCCATCACTGTTAGATGGCACAGTGATCCTGAGACCTTCCACTTGTCAGATGATCTTTTTAACCAATCCCAAAATTTGCAGACATCAGTTGCACACACTAGCAAAGATAGGGGGCTGAAATTTAAACTCAATACCCAGGATTTGTTTAGCATGATGCAATTAAACTGCACAAGGTTACCATCAACTCAGCTGGTGTATGAAGCCTAATATCAACAGGCTACAACAGGGGAAAGATTGAATTCTGGTGAGTGCAGCTTCCTCTCATATCTAACACCTCAAATTTCTGCATTTGGTTGATTTTTTTGTGAATAATGAAGCCCTTGTTTATGCTGCATGTGTCTAATATTAGCACCTATTTTTCTGTGTGCTGTGGTTGCACATTTACATGTGATTTACTCTCTTCCTGTTTATAGGAAGAACTCAGCAGATGCAATCAAAGCTGAATTTAGGTTCCTATTAAAAGTTTTGAAAACCTTGCAGTTATACAACAGGATAGGCGCAGGCTAGGAGAATTTCACAGTGCCTACCACTGTATATCAGTGACCCACTGCCCTGGATGCCAGACACCAATAAAAGCAGCCATAAAGCATGCAGAGATTGTGTGCAGCTATGCCTGGTCTGAGTTACACGCCGTGGCACCACATTTACAGGGGCTGCAGGTTTGTCAGGGCAGAACAATGGCGACTGTATTGAAGGACCCTTAATGTTTGGGGGTTTTATTTGGCCCCTGGGAAGCAAAGTAGAGTCTGCAGTCCGAGAGGAGATCTGCAGGCTGTGTGTGTATACATGTGTGTAAATTGTACAAATGTAGTTGAGGAATTAGTGCATTGGATATGATTGCAAGACTTTTTACCATTTCCTGACTCTTGACCCCTGACTTCTTGATTTTCTTGGGGCATTTCCTCTAATGAGGCAGAGTGAAGTGAATTGTGACATAAACACATATAGGTCCTTAATTTCAGACTTTGATGCTGTTGATAGAAATATAAAAATAGTGCTTTTTCATAACTCAGTGACTCTTTTCTTAGTGTGATGGGTGTGTATTGTGTGCATTGTGCTAACAAGGTATGATTGTGACATTTGCAGTTGCAGAATTTACACCAATTCTATTACAGGTTTAAACATTAAAACTAATTTAACACTGCAATGTACAGCAGTCGATATCCAATGTTGTAGCTGTGTAAATTAACTGCTAATAGTTTATTATATGTTTTGTGGTGCTTTGTTGATTTGTGTAATCACTGCCTTTGCTAATGTGATGTGATTGTGATCTATTTAACACAATGTTAACAATGTTGTCTAAACTTTTTTCAGTAACATAACCAAGTTCACAGTCTGGCAGAAATGTCATTGGTTTCAGTGCTACTCTCAGATATATTTACTTGGAGCTGAGGCACAGCATCCTGCTTGTCCGAACATGCTGTATCAAACTGACTCTGACTCATTACAAGCAACTTTTTCTCAGAAAGTCTGTCAGCAGAAACGGAACTTGAACAGAAACTCCCTTGAACTTAATCTGACTAAAATAGGAAAGAGAAAAAAAACAGGTAGCATAGGTTTCACTGAACCTGAATATTGAAAAAAAAATAGTAATGCAGCAGATGAGTTAATAAAGATGGCAAATACAGATGGTGAGAGCGGAGATCCTTGGTGATTGTTTTTTTGTGGGTGGGTAAATTAAATGTTCATCCTTCAAACTTGAAACCATGCATAGTAGTAAGGAGGAGAGATGTGCTACTTGGAAGCCACTGGGTACCAGTGCTTTTAGTGTTAATGTGAGCTTGGTTAGAAAGTTTAAGGTTTTCAGAAAGTTTATGCAGTAATGAATAATTAATTACAGGCTGAAACACAGGTATGCATGTGTGCATATATCTGCAGGTCAGAGTACAATGTCCTCCCTTTTTGTATGTGATTTACACACCAAGTAATGTAACCTAATATGTCTAAGCATTAGAATACAATTTTGTGAATGAAGTCCCTGGAGCAGAGTGTTTTTTTACTGTGGCTATAAATGCTCAGCTGAATGAACACAGGCAATGACACAGCCCGTTAAATGCACTGCGAGCTGCGTGAGGTGGCCTAAATGGTTAAGACGCCAAGACCATTTACAGGATAGAGTCCACAATGGAGCTAAAGGCTGGTGCTCTCAAGTTTAAGCAATTATGTATATGGAAATAGGAAAACATAACATAAGTGGTTTTGTATTTGGTTTAACAGTGAGATGTATTTGTGGATATACAGTATATATCACACTGATAATCATAATGGATTAATTGGTTTGTTATTTCTGTCATAACACAATATGTACTTGCAAAAATATACATAGGACAAAATAATCCAAAACAGAATACAAATTCAGTAGAGAACGGGGAAAGTAGCCTATTATATATGCAAAAATAACTTAAAAGTAGTACATCTTGAAGGATGACTGGTTAGTGTCTGCTAATCTTGACTAGGAATTTTATTTTTATAATTTGTATTATTTTTCATTGCAAATTAGTCAAGGCTATAAATGTATGTAAGGCATTAGATAATTCAGTTAATTTTCATGCATCTGTCCACGTGAAAGAAGAGGTGTGTCCTTAAGATGATGGCATCCCAATTTAAGTAGGGGCCAGAGTGGCAGCAGGTTAAAAATTGAAAGGAAGCAGGATCATGCATCCTAAATGCTGAAATCATGGCAAAGTTAATGTTATATTTTATCCTATCAGTAGTAGCTATGCAAACATGCATGCTATCAAAACCACTTATGAATAATGTTGATTCAGTCCATAGATAATATATACTGTTAATAGCCTATCAGAGTATTTCAAAATAACACAAATACAGCAATTCCCTTTTTTGTTGTTTTGTAATATTAACTAACACTGCAATGCCCATAATGCTTTGTGCTTCATTTTCTTCATTCCTGCTACAAAAACCATGCGCCAAGCTAGTCCCAAATATAGTTCCTCTATGGGCGCACCAGCCGGCAGCCCCCTCGTACGCGGCTGCTCTTACCCGGAACAAACCATTCGACCACCCGGAGACGGGGGTGGTCGCCGTGTAGACAACTACAGGAAACGCAGAGGTAGGCTGTGTAATGTCGAATTCTGTGCAATTTTTCCTTTCATATCGCGTACCGAGCGAGGATTAATGCACAGTCTCGGCGAAAATTATTGTAGGTATCAATTTTAAAGCATCGTGAGACTTCCCCACGCCTCTGCTGTCAAATTCGGCGCTGATAGCGTACAGCTATCCTGGAAGCGTTTCATGTGTAGCATAATATGTAGAGATAAACAAACCTACGAGTAAAACCCGTGTTGCTGCAATGTTGCTATCCCCTTGTTTATTTTAGTTTCATTTGCGCACCAGTGACAGTGAAAGGTGGCTTATTAAAGGCTTCTTACATCAGTAGTATGTGGTCACATGGCACAGCAGCAGGGGACAATGTGGAGGGAGAGTGGGACTCAAGTTTCTCAAGGTTATGTAAGATTATGTATCAGTTAGAAAAGACAAATCACACCCAAGCATGTGTGTTCTCCTATGCCTCAAAGAAATCCCCCCAATGAACAGCATAAAATGACCATAATAAAAGTGTGGAAAGATTGTAAACTCACCCAGTTGAATTACAATACACAGAGATCCCTATGTAAACATTGTAGAAATATGATGGAGACTTGGACATAAGAGACAAAAGTATGCTGTTAGTTAAACAGATCTTAAGCCTTGCACTTTGTAACAAAACAAAAAGTCCTCAGCCAGATGCACAAGTCGAAATTTGGCCGAATTTAGGCCTTGAGTATGCTGCGGAGTACAGATAACGAACACACACCCACAAAAGTTCGTCCTTGAGACACACATCACAGATAAGTGAGGTAGCAAGACCAACTGTCAGAAGAGACACCCGCATTCTGGTATTTCAATCCCAGCTGCGAAGATGTGAGTGAAACTTGCTTTGTGCTCTACTTTTTGACGTTTGTCCTCCTCTAACTGGTTCAGCATCCATGGCTTTTTACACCGTTGTATCACTCTGTTTGGTTTCTCTTTTCCCATTTTTCCTCTTAATCCGTTGTGTTTATCCTTCTTCAGGGGTGTATGTGTGTCTCTTCCTGAACCCGTGATGGCTGACCAAGTACCTCAACAGCAGGGGGACCCTCTGCTGAGCAAGTTCTACCAGGGGAGCCTCCCTAATGGGAAAGAAGCCACCAAAGATAGCCTGCATGCCAGAGGCCAGTGGGCTAGTAAGGCTGAGTTCCTCCTGGCTGTGGCGGGGCAGATCATCGGCCTGGGCAACGTCTGGAGGTTCCCTTACCTCTGCTACAAGAACGGAGGAGGTAAAGCATGTGGGAGCAGGGGAGAGGGGAAGAACGGAGACAGTTAATGAAAAATTGTCTTTCTGTAAATTCTGTCTTTGTATCCCTCTCTTACCCCCCTCTCTTGACTTCCTGTCTGTCATGCACCTTTATCTTTGCCTCCTTTTTCTCCCTTCTATTTATTTTTCTACATATACATATAAATTTGTTAAATTTAGGTGCTAATTTGGGATTATTACTTGGTTATCGAGTTCATATTGCAATGGACACTGGGGTAAATGCCTTTTTTAGGTTTAGAGTGTAATCTGTGAAGATTCTCACAAGCATAGCAACTGATGTGTATGTGTTTCCAGGTGTGTTCTTTGTACCTTACCTGTTGTTCCTGGTGCTGTGCGGCGTTCCCCTGTTCCTCCTGGAGACCTCGCTGGGACAGTACACCAGCCTGGGAGGTGTCAGCGCCTGGAGGTCTATCTGTCCTTTATTTGGAGGTAAACTTATCTAATTGTCACATGTGTAACAGAATCGTAACATGCGGTTTTGTTTAGGGCTGCAACGAATGATAACCATATTATTGATTAATGTGCCGATTAATTTCTCAAATAATTGCGGAGTGATGATAATAATGTAGATGTGGGGTGAAGGTGGGGTGTATGAAAACATCTACCACCTACCCATGACACTGCTCCTTTGTAGATGCTTCAGAGTACAACATTGTATCTTAATGTCTGACTTGAAGAGAAAAGAGAGGGATTTTCACATAAAATATTTTTAAAAATTGACAGAAAGTTGACACATAACAAGAGATACCAGAATGAATAACAAGGACACAGGACAAAACAAGGCAATTATCATACGCAAGTTATATATTTACAAAAACACATAATAACACATTGGTTATGGAAAAATTAAACATACATAGAGACAGCTGCAGTGTGATTATTTATGGCTTTTTACTTTGCCTTTCTGTCTCTTCTACTTTCTCCTTTACTTCCCTTTGTCTTTCTTCCTAATCTTCCTCCGTACTGGCGCAAGTATTCAAAGCATTCCTGTGTCCACATCAATACAAAACCAATATAAACAGTGTGTCCGCAATCAGAAAATTTGGCACTCCCTGCTAGCTGCATGTCATATTGAATCTCAGCTTGTGTATTAAAGCAACTTTGCAGTGCAGAAGGCAACACGCTCTCCGCCTGCCAATAAAAACACACACTTGAGGTTGTATGTCTTTCATGCTATCCTGCCAGCCAAACAAACGGTCACGGTTAAGCATTAACTTAACACACAATTACACCAGCGGAACAGAGCCTGCCCTCATCAATGTGGTGTTTTTTCTAACCCTAACTCTAAGAGGAATAAAACACTATGATCCTAGATAATCCAAACCCGTCAGGACTGGAAAACGGGTTCAGACAATGAAACAAATAGACCTGAGCAGATTCCACGTGTTAACAGTTTTGTTTCGGATATCACGCTGGAACGCCCATACGTTCCCGTTGAGGACTTTGATCTCTCAATCTGCTCGGCTGTTTTATTTATAGATGCAAACAGATGTGAATGCAAACAGCAGCGGTCAGTATCCACGCTGCCTTGTGGCTGAGCAACACACAGAGTAGATACTGTGAATCTTTTGACTGACTGAACTGTGACTGGTTGATGTTTAAGAAGCAGTAACTTAGTTATGTGGCTACAGAAGCCAAGCCATAAAAACAGACATATTTAATTTTTCAAGGGATGTGACATGACCACATTTATCTTGTAGGGGGGCAGGACATGTTTCCCAACTTCACCTTTACTTACACATATGCCACTTACAAGCACAAAATTGAAAAAGGAGTTTTCCTTCATATCACATGATCTATGACACAGCAAAATCTACGTACTTACAAAGATCATGTGTGAACTGCTGCAAAATGGACCTTGCGGTGAAGATTGTTGGGGCTTCGGGGCAGTGCTTTGTCTGGCAGCCTAGGCTGCAGAATAGTTTCAGTGTTTGCTCAAGGACACTTCAGCAGGGTGGAGTGTTGAAGTTTCATTTACTTCACCCACCCTGCACTGTGACCAGCGACCTTCTATGAACACATGCTTCTAGTATGAAGTCGACCATGTCAGATACTCAGACAATGTAATGCTTCTGTGGGAATTCCTCACTGGTCTGTGTATTTGATGATCTATCATCAGATAAAGGCCTGAATTTCATTAGAGGATGCTACAAACAGCTATTTGTCTATGCAAACAGCCTACACTCTCTAACCCACTCAAGGCCTCATAAGACCATCATTCATTCCTGATGAAGATGTACTGGATGTGGGCTGCAAGTTGAGTGTCTCAGTAAATGGATGCTTTCATATGCAACTCGAGAGACTTGGAACAGACTATGGATATTTGTGCATGAATGCTTTGAAGATTTAACATAACAATAAGAGCTGCTTGTTTAAAGCCTGACACCCAGTCTCTGTCTGTCCTCTCACGTTTCTGCAGGGCTTGGGTATGCCAGCCAGGTGATGATCCTGCATGGCTGCGTGTACTACATCGTCATCCTGGCCTGGGCTCTCTTCTACCTCTCCTACAGCTTCCAGGCAGAGCTGCCCTGGTCGCACTGTAACAACACGTGGAACACTGGTCAGTAAAGACAGGAAATTAGATGTGTCTGTCGATGCAATTTTGGCCTGCTGTGTAAAACTTTTAAGGGTTAACTCGGGTCTATTGTGTGTGTCTGCAGAGGCATGTGTATTATTTGACCACCACAACCAGACAGCTAATATGAGCAGCCTGCCAGGGAACGCATCTTCCTCCGTCATGGAGTTTTGGGAGTGAGTGCCTTGGTTTCTTATTGGTCATTTTTCCGGATATTTATCATGCAGTTCAGAATACCACCTGGTGTAAGGCATTAACAGCAGTGCGTGTGTGCGTATGTGTGTGTGTCTTGTAGACGAGAGGTGCTCCGCCTCTCCAACAATTTGGACGAGCTGGGCCCAATCAACTGGAAGCTGGCTCTGTGTCTGGCCATCGTCTGGCTCGTTTGCTACTTCTGTGTCTGGAAGGGAGTCAAGTCCACCGGAAAGGTGAGCAGAAAAACATCATGCAATCATCACGCAGCATGACGCCTTCACTGACCTCCCCTTCCCGAAACAAATGAATCCTTTCCAGCCTTCGGAGCAAAAGACCCTCCTTATAACTCCAGAACTTGCCTGAGAATCTTGATGTTTTTAAGTTTCCTTTAGTCTCAAAGTAATTCAGTGATGTGCATCTGTACATCTATGGGTACATTACAAACAGCAACTGCTAATAGCTGATTCGGCAAGCTTGACAAAATGTTTACCCTAAGGTCCTTTCATTTAAAATGAGCCAGGCCATATCCTGGAGAAGTGACTTACACAAGGTCGATCTTGTGTTTTTTTGAAACAACAAAATCCTGAGGGGTGGCAGGGCTAGAGACAGAACATAAATCTTCTTCTTTCATATGGCCAGCAAATGAAATAAGGGGCTGGGTACTGTATTAATTTTGTTGTGTCACCACCACCGTCTGTCAACAGGTTTAAGACTCCAACTTTCCAGGGTTCCCTCTTTTACTATTTAATCCCTGTTTGAGGACATCACAGACATGTCCTTCCTGTTTTCTCTGTCTCTGTGCCGTCCTGACCACATCCCAGCATGCTGTGTGTACATTCTAGGTGGTGTACCTGACAGCCACCTTCCCATATGTCATGCTGTTTGTGCTGCTGGTGCGCGGTGCCACCCTGCCTGGAGCGACCCAGGGCATCATCTACTACCTCAAACCCAACCACACTCGCCTGGCAGACCCACAGGTACAAACACACACACTCACACTTCAGATGACTATGCAGTCATTCTTTCAGGCGATATAGCAGCTCCGAAAAGTGATACAGAACTGGACGTGGTTCTTCTCAACAGCTATTTAGCACAAGAAGAAAACAATTTTATCAGGAGCAGTAAACTAGGTCAGTAGTCAAAAGGTCAGTATTAACTGACTGGATTTTATTAGACACACATTGTCCTTTCATTGTAGATAATATGTAACATCAGTGTCGTTGCCTTGTGCGCATGTCTTTTTCAAATTGTGTAAATATAAATGGACAGTTGTTAAAATCTTAGATACTGAGTCTAACCACCGCTGTCACTATACAGCCTGCTGTGATGTTGGAGGGTTGATGTATATATTCTGGCTTTTACAAAACTTTAGTGCACATTTTTTTTCCAAGATTTGTCCATAAGTTTACATGTTATCACCAAACTTGTGTTCTTTTACAGAAAAGCCACTTTTTGGATCTTGAAAACACATTCACTGAAATGCTGCCTCTCATCTCTCCTTTCATTTTCTCCTCCTTCCTTCCCTCCCTCTCTCTCTCTCCCTCTCTCTCTCTCTCTCTCTCTCTCTCTCTCTCTCTCTCTGTATGAAGGTATGGATGGATGCAGGTACCCAGATATTTTTCTCTTATGGAATCTGCTTGGGAAGTCTCACAGCTCTGGGCAGTTACAACAAATACAACAACGATTGCTATAAGTGAGACACCTACCTACACTATCGCACAACTACAGCACACACCACACAACCACAGCAAACTCCTGAGGCTCCACTTTAGACAAACCATGTTCACTTGAAATGTAAGATGTGAGTTCCCACTGGTCAGATGGCTTCCAGAAGGAATGGCTGGAATGGACAGAGAAAACACACTGATACAGCCACACCTTAAAGAAAAGCCTTCGTTACCATGTTTCCCACAGTCTAGGACTCTAGCACACACACACACACACACACACACACACACACACACACACACACACACACACACACACACACACACACACAGAGCCAAGCGCTTCACTCTTGGCTTGTATTTACAGTAACAAGCCACAGCTCCACAATACAAGGCCAGAGACCAAGGATCAAGACCTCACTGTCTGTCTTGCTTTGTGTTCTGTTGTTTTAGTTCATTTCTCAAGTTCAAGTTCTGTCCTGCCATAAAGTCAAAGTCTGCCATATGTGTCTGTGTGTCCTTCCAGGGACTCTTTCCTGCTGTGCCTCCTGAACAGCACCACCAGTTTCCTGGCTGGTTTTGCCATCTTCTCGGTGCTGGGCTTCATGGCTGAGGAGCAGGGCGTGGACATATCCACTGTGGCCCAGTCAGGTGAAACAGGGTGTTGAGATGGAAGTGAGGAGATGTTTGGTGAAAATCTTTTAGCAGCGCCAATAGAGCTTTCCTCCCTAAACACTGCTACAAACAAAACAAGACACAACCAACAGTGTCCACATCCCCCAAGCTTAGCACCGCTTCATTTGTGGGGACAGGCAAATGAATTTCACTGTGCATGGTGATGCTCTATATTTGTGTTTTTGTGATCTAATCCCATGAACAGACCAAAACCAAGAGTGAATTGATTTTTACTGAAAAGTCTGTGTAGTCAGCTCCTGAAATATCCTATGCTCCTGTGCCACAGAACCCCATTGTTGTCCAAAAACTACTAATCTGTATTAATCCGCTTCTGAAAATAGTCCCGAACGAATGCACAATTTACTCCTGTTTGAGTAACGTTTGCTAAAAACTACAGTATCTGGCTGTTATAGGAAATTACCCAGCCTTTTTAAAAAGAGATATCACATATAATTAAATATGTGTCACTTGTTTTTTGTTTTTTTTTAGATTTGCTGTAAACCTTGAATAGGAATGAATGGGCACCCACAGACAGGGGAGGGGAGTTGGAAAGTCTTAAGAGACAGACAAAGGCATCTGTGGTTTTGGTCTCAACCTTTAAAATAACTGATTTTAAATAAAATGACAAAACACCACAATTATGACCTACTTGAGCTGAAAATCTATGTTTTATATATATATATATATATATATATGCCTGTTATACTTGGTTATGTTTTTTATTCTTATATAATATGATAAGAATTAGAAATAGGATTTGACTGGATAAGCAGAATCAGAATCCATAAAATTAATCCAGTGCCCAGCTGTTTATGTTTGAATTGTTCTTCATGTGATGGTATGTCCTCTCAGGGCCTGGCCTTGCCTTCATCGCCTACCCAAGAGCTGTAGCCATGATGCCGATACCCCAGCTCTGGGCTGTCTGCTTCTTCCTCATGATCATCATGCTGGGGCTGGACACACAGGTAGACGCACACTGACTGACTTTGATGAATTACTTTTGATGGAATTGATGTTTTGTATTTTGTACTATGATATAAAACTGGCAGCACACACACTGACCCTGTCTCCCCTCTGTCACTCAGTTTGTGAGTCTGGAGGCCCTGATGACGTCGGTGACTGACCTCTACCCTCACCTGATCAGACGAGGTCACAGACGAGAGCTGCTGCTGCTGTTGGTCTGCGTCGTCTGCTTCCTGATGGGACTGGTCATGGTCACGCCGGTAGGTCACACTCAGGACGGACGGATGTGTGTGTAGGTGGACATGATCTTCCAGCCTGTTTGGTTTTAATAATGGAGTTTTCTCTGTTTTGTGTGCATGTTTGTCTCCACGGCGATGCAGGGAGGTCTGTATGTGTTCCAGATCTATGATCACTTCTCCTGCAGTGGAGCCAGCCTGCTGCTCCTCTCCATATTCCAGTCTCTGGCCATCGGCTGGGTCTACGGTACGAATCCCAGCTCCTCTCCTCTACTTATCTTTCCTTTTTTGTCTTTCTTTTACTTATTTCCTCCTCCTGATTTCTCTCCTCTCCTCTCCTTTAATCTAAGACCAATTTTAACCCAATCCACTCCGTGTCTGACTTTAATTACATTGCTTTGGAGCTCATTAGTCACACATTAGGACTCCACAATCTGCCAAATTAGAAAACACCTAAATAAATCTGAATGTTGTCAATCTATTTAGAAAATATAAAAAAGAACAGCGCCAGCACTTTTTTTTTTATCACTAATGAAAGAAAAATCTGATAAACACACTCAGAGTCATCCAGTCCACTTCCTCCCCTCCTCCTGCATTCCACGTGGAGTCAGTAGACAGTATATTAACATGGCTGCAGCTACCCACTGTTGTAAGGAGACTGGCTCCTAGCCAGGCCCCTGTCTGTCTCCTCCGGGCCCTAAATCAGCCCCCGGGCCCCGTCGCCTCTCAGTCTCAGTCTGGCGGCCCCCAGGAAGCCCCTATCCCAGCCAGACCTGAGGCTCTAAAGCATTTACAAAAAGATTGTCTGTTTAAGTGTGAGATGGGTGGAATGTAACGTGTACGTGCATCAGGACAACACATATGAATGCAACTGCGTTTAGACTATCAACTTTGTATATGGCAAAGAATTAAGAGTCATAAAAGCTGTGAGTAGCACCATTGTAGGTGATAACAACTGTCAGAGTAGGTTAACAGAGAGTGTGTGTTAGTGTGTGTGTGTGCATATGAATACCGAGGAAGCCTGTTTTTACAGCTCTCCCAGCAGTAGGTGAGTGCAGCGGCAGAGTTGAGGAGAGGGGTTTTAAGTGGACTGGGTAACACAGGGGTCAGGACTCCACTCCACCTTTCTCCCCTTTTTTTTATAACTGTGGGATTTCACAGTTTTTTTAAGGACTCTAACAAACACTAACACTCTTCTCTCCATGGTTACGTGGTCCTGAAGGAGTTAGAAAATACATAGAAATCATAGAAAATACATGGTAACTTGTTGTTTTAAATACTGACAGATGATAGTTTTTATGTATATACTGTATAATGATAAAAGTAGAATACCACAGATTATTTTATAGTTAATTTTCCCTTTGACATTCGGGAGTTGAACTACATCTTTTCCTATGGTCTGTTACCACAACTGCTGCTGTTTCTAGCAACAGTAGCAGCTCTACTACCCATGGCAGCGATGGCATGGCATTTCAATTATTAGATCTGGTGACATGGAAACATCACTAATATGGATTCCAGTAGGGTAAGTCATCAGACAGTCAGGCCGTAAATAACTAATATGTTCTACCGTCTTGTCATAACTATTCCCTGGGAAGTGAAAGCAAATGTTGATGTTATTATTATTCCAAAAACTGTTTAATAGATGTAAAGTAGATGTTTATTTTATATTTACAAAAGGAATTTGTGCTTTCACTTCCAATCTGCCAGACTTCTACCACTACTACTACTCTGCTTACATCTAATGTTACTACCATTGTCACTACTTACTTGTACTGTTATCACTTTATAATTACATCTCATTACCAGCTGTCCCACTGTCACTGTTGTTGCTCATCCTGGTCCTGCTGCTGCATAATATAAACAATAAAACAATGTTTTCTTATTCAGGACATTTTTCTAGTATTTTCCTCTGTAGTGGTGAATACAAAGGCAAAAAAAGAAAAAAGAAATTCTAACCCAAGTTGGCCATCGCCACCAAAAACAACAAGCCAGTCATAAACCCAACTGTGATGTCAAACCAAACCACAACCACTCATGCTGCTCTTGTTTTGGCCACAGGAGCCGAGCGCTTCAGTGCCAACATCAGGGATATGACGGGCTACAGTCCCCTGCCTGTCTTCAAGCTGTGCTGGAAATACTTGACCCCAGCTGTGTGCACTGTGAGTGACCCCTCCCCGCTGACCGGCTTTCACACTGTTTAGTGTCCTCTTGCTGTGAAATAGTACACGCATAAATGCATGTTTGGGATTTGGTACAAATTCCTCCCGCTGTCTGTCAATCAGTCAACCTCTGTGTTCATCACGTGTCCATCAATGTGTGTAAATTTGTATGTTGTACCATGTGTGTGTCCTGAAACCAGCGAACTTCTCTGAACACATTGAACACACAGACGTCTTTCATATTTTAGCTCTGGAGGTGAACAGGAGGCAAAATATATGTATGTATGTCATGTAATGCCTTAAATATGTAATGTCCTGTTTACTGACACAGCCCTCTTTCCGTCTGTCTCCTTCAGGCCACCTTTGTATTCTCCCTGGTTCGTTGGTCTCCGCTGAGCCTGGGGAATGGCCTGGTCGCTCCTGTCTGGGCCACCACGCTGGGCTGGCTCCTTACCTTATCGTCCGTCTCCCTGCTTCCCATCTGGGCCATTTACGCCCTGGTCACCACCCCGGGAACCCTACCGCAGGTTACACCAGCACTCTCTTCAGTCTGTTTAGTATCATGTGCTGCTGATAGTGCGTTATTAACCTAGAGACGTTTAAAAAAGTTCTCTCAGATAATGAAACAGAAGAAAACTTAAAAACTAGACACAGAAAGAAAGAGTTGTTCAGAGTGATAAGGATGTGAAGATGATAAAATACTTAAGTGTGACCTTTTTGACCCCGCAGCGTTTCCAGCGTCTGTGCAGCCCTGCCAAAAACTCTTCAGCAGCCCTCAACCACATCTCCACCAACAACTCAGCGCTGCCCTACAGCCCCGCCCTGCCTCTCACCGAGAAGCCAAAGGAGCCGATCACTGACATCATCCAGGATCACATGACCTGATGATAGTCTACGATGATGTAACATTTAATGCTGCTCAGCCAATCAGATGTGGTGAAGGGGAGGGTCGAGGTTGGAGGTAATGCTGCAGAGTCCCAAATGAGGGCCTGGAATTCATTTTTAATTATAGACTAAAAAGATCCTTCACTTGTGGCCTTTTTTACCTGAATGTGGAGATGTAACCCCAGCAGCAACGGTATCCCACACTCCGTTATTTCATTTACATCAGGCCATTACCGTCAATTCATATCAGGTGATCATGTCATATTTACGTCCACATTATCTTGAATTAATGACTAATGAAAAAGAAAAGAGTAATAAACTCCACTTAAATTCTCCACCCAAGGGCCACTTATTCACTTATTTTCCATTATTCTGAGTACTTCAAGGACGTCTTAAAAATGTTTGAAAGCTCCAGAACAAGCGCATAAGTGGACCTTGAGTGGAGATTGTTTTAGGCATGAATATGTTAATCACTAAAAATGTTAAAGTTAAATGTATATATTTATCAGTAAAACACTGCCTATGATTAAAATGCTGCATCTGCCTGCTGGTAAATTTTACGAGCGCTGCCTGAACGCTAGTTATTTTCGCTCTCTGTGGAGTTGGATCGTCCCACTTGAGAAGGAGGTGTAGGCTCAGTCTCCTTCAGAGGGTCCAGTGCTGAATTGGGACACAGCTTGCTTTACCTTTAAGACCTGCCCCACCCTGTTACTACACAACTTTTGCGCACAACTGTTACTGGCTACCAGAGTTGGTTATTGTAAAACAGCACACACTCCTTCAACTCAAGAATTTTATCTGCTGCGTCTGTTTTATTCATCTCTTTGTGGACCATGTGATCACAGCCCCTTTAGCTATCCAAGGCAGCATCAGTTGTCATTATATAGCCTACAAATCTACTCTCTATGAGAGATCGCTGCTTGTATTAGCATGTGTGCTTAGCTTTGATTCTCTATTTAATATGTCTTTCTTGTTGTGTTTAGGTGCAGGTATCATCTGAAATGACTCTATGAGTCAGACTTGTTTTATTTATTTGTCTTTGCCCTCTGATCGCTGTGTCATGGAGTTTGAATAATTCATACAACGCCTTACACTCAGAACTATGTTAATCCAAGTTGCATTATTCAAATGCCACTTTTTACTGCCAATATATCAAGTGCTCAACCTTATGTCATGGTTAACTCTTTATCACTGAGAGGCAGTAACTATTTTCATCCATTAGACATACTGTATTTGTCTCTGAAAAAAAGGGCAGGAAAGTTGTTTATACTTATGATAATTGTCTCAAAGGTTTCACATGCAGTTTCTGCAAAAATAAAATACATTATATCTTTGAACTATAACAAAAATACCACTTATCAAGCTGAGAAACATGCAATCAACGTATCTGAATCAACATATATTAATACAATATTACAAAACTGCTGTTGATACTGCTGCTGTACAGACAAACAATGATTGATTTTTTTATTCTGTGCACCAAATGTTTATCCTAAAATGTTAAAGTACATTTTATTAAGAAACTAACTTTATATTTAAACTGCAAAATAACTCATGCCACTCCAGTATGATTGTCTTTGGAGGTGACTTTACAGTGTCATTTACTGTAACATGCAGGAGAAGTAGAAATGAATAACTTACACCTATGCAGTGTAAAGATGTTTATATTTTTCAAAAGAAGATACAGTATGTGAATGTTCATAAAAATGCGTTAAATTCATTATGTTTCTCATATGTATCACTTTCAGTACAGTCACTACAGACTTTTACAATGTCAGAGAAGGAAGACATTTTGAATAATTTACATTACTTTCTTTTTTTTTTATCACTGTGGTGTCTTCGGTGTCTCCATTAGCTCACTGTACTTGCAAGTCGAGGACAGAATGTACTCTTCACTGGGAAAACTTAAGGATGAGGAACATTTCTTGAGCAAGTGTGTTGTGTTGAATATGTTTGAAGATAAACAAGTTAAAGTTCCTTATGCAAACTTGAATCTGCAGTTTTTTCAGACCTAGATCAGAGTTTTTGATTTTTTTTGATTTTTTAAATCCTTTCAAATGCTCCTCTGAGATTACTTTACAAAAAACAAAGTGTTATACCCATCTGGTGTCTTTTGAAAGGATTTACTGTGTTATCATCTCTGTTTACAGGTGTATACTTGTGCCTCTTTGTTTTAAAACTGGCTACTTTTGTATGTGTATCATTATTTTCTTTTCTAAATGAACATATGTGTGTTGACTGTGTTCATTTCGTTGAATGTGTGTGTGCAGGTGTGTGTTTGTGTTTGCTACAGCACACCTGTGGTCGAAGCTAGCTGTCACTCTGGAGACGATGCTCTCTCCCTCTGCGCCATGGTAACAGATGCTAAGAACACACCTGGTTTCTACGCAGGGAGGAAGAGAGGAAAAGAAGGAGAGAAAAGAGAGATGCAGGAAAGACGCGCGCACACACACACACACACGCACGCACCCGCACACACACACACACACACACACACACACACTCCATCAGCCGTCACAAGAACAAACATTGTGGTGGCTGTTCCCTTCATCTGAGGCATTTTCAGCGTGATGGGAATTACTGGTTTAACATCCATGAAGGGAGAGAAGGAAAGGATGGAGATAGAGCAAGAGAGGGTGGAGTATGTGTGTGTATGTGTGTGCAGAGGAGGAGAGGGAGTCATGGAGACTAAAGAGGGAGGGAGAGGAGCAGCGCTGGGGGGAATTCTGACACCACCACTTAGATGGAGGTTATGTAAAAGGCTCGGCTTGTCAATTAACGGTATTGGATTCCCTCCTCCCAGCCACCGTAGGAAGTGGGCTGGTCCCACACACACGTGGCCTGGCACGCGTGGTTCTCACACACACACACACACACACACACACACACAATTTGTTTTGGTGACGTGCTATACTGTATGCAGCCTGCTTTGCACATGTGATCCGGGTTACTGTCTAATTGTGTGTTTGTGTGTGTGTGTGTGTGTGTGTGTGTGTGTGGATAACGGGGGCGGTTTATGTCCATATGGTTGCTTTGGCATACATCTCACTTTCAGATGATGGGGATTAAAAATGATCCAATGGGCTGAGTGTGTGAGACTCAAAGAGGAGAGAGGAAGAGGGAGGGAGAGGAGGACATTGTAGGGATGAGAGCCAAAGTGTGTGTGTGTGTGTGTGTGTGTGTGTGTGTGTGTGTGTGTGTGTGTGTGTGTGTGTGTGTGTGTGTGTGTGTGTGTGTGTGTGTGTGTGGGGTTTCTGTATGTGTATGGCACTGAAAGATGCTGGGGAAAGTTGCCTAATTTTCGCTCAGGCTCAGTGCCACTAGTTTGCAGCTGCAGCACTTTTCACCACATGCATTAACTATTTTTTGTACACACAAACTCAACACACTTATTTTCTTAGTCTCAATACTTTCAAGGACACACTTTCAAGTACCAGGACACACAAGCACCGACGCTCCATCTTGACATCACACTGTCCTGATCAAACATCCTCTCTCACACACAGCTCTGGTTTGCTCTGTCTTTATGGCTGTCTTTTTTACTGCAGGTAATACACTTGACAGTTTGGTGTGAAGGAGAAGCAGCCGGCAGCAGGAGGGGGGCTGTTAGGTGGCGGGGGGTGGGGGGGGGGGTTTGTTTGGAGGCAAGACTTGAGGACAGGGAGAAAAAGAGACGAGTAGTGGGGGTGTGAGGCGCATTGCATAACAGCTGGGTGATTTGGACATGAGGCTCAGCTCGATACTGGATCTACTCTGCAGTGGTCACCGTATTGAAGCTTGTGGGTGTGTGTGTGCTGTGTTTTCATGGCCGTAGCAAAGATTTTATGAACCCTGAGGTCATGAGCCCAAGTCCCACCCAACCACACCCCCTTGGAAAATACTGACAGGACCCCAAACAGAAAGTATGTAAAAATACTGAGGACGTTGTGTTGAGGAACTGTCAAGTGACATTTTTCTGGAGGCTTGTTTGAATACAGCGAATCCTTGGTGTGGGATGCTTCAAGTGTGGATCGTACCACGGTGGGATTTGGGGGGGGGGGGCTTACGGTGGCAGCACACCGTGTTCCGTTTTTTGGCCGTGCTTCCACCGTCCACCCACGCTCCCTCTCGCTCACTCCCTGGCTGCATCCCTGCACCACACTACCCACACCGCTCAGTCACGTAGAAGGGGGCTTTGGATTAGCACACCGCTTTGGGAGAGCACACACGGCCTCTCACCGCTTGGGCGCAACAAAGTTGAAATGTAATATCTGTTCTCAGGTTCTTGTGTGTGTGTGGGTGTGTATCCACAAAGAGAGGCCTCCTTCTTGCGTGCACACACACACACACACACACACACACTCTGAAACCCCCTCTGTGGTGTGCAAAGGTAGTAGCTGTTAGGTGACTCAGCAAATGAGCAGTGTTTTGGAACTTTTAAGACATCTTACAAACACACTCTCTTGTTGGCTTTGAGTGTGTGGTGTGTGTTGTGTCGTGTGTGTGTTGTGAGAGAGAGAGAGAGAGGCATGGACTTCAGCCCAGTCAGGTTTATGGCATTGCTAACCCCAACCTGACCCCACCTCACCCACCCTCCAAGTATGACATCCCATTGGCACTACACTTCCCTAAAGGTACAATAAATAATCAAGACAGCTCTCAGGGCAGTTCCAAGCACAGTCACACACCTGCAGACTCTCTCTCTGTCTCTCACACACACTTACACAAACTTACACACTTACACACACTTTTTCCCCTTTACTCTCTTATACCCAAGTGCAGCAGTACAGCACCTACTGTATGTATGCTTACTGATTTCATAGTCTCCTGCTCTCTCTCTCTCTCTCTCTCTCACACACACACCATTAAATGTCTCACACAGGGAACGGTGAACTCCCAGAGTTCTTATTCGGGACTGGCCATAAATTATCTATTCCCCTCTAGTTTGCTGAAACTCTCCAGTCAAACCCTGTTGGACTTTTAGCCTTCAATTATTAAAGGAGTCAAAGTGGTAAAAGTGTAAAAATAACAGCCTGGTGTTTAATGGACACATTTTGGACTTGAGATAAATGGTGTTGGTCCTGGGAGTTTTGCAGGTCTTTTGTTTTGTGTCTTTTTCAGAAGGATTTTGATGGACTTGCAAAGCACAACAGGCTCCTCTTTCCTTTGCTGAGGCAGAGGGAAATACTCCAGTGACAGCATTGTTCAGGTTTCTCTCCTCTCCTCTCCTCCAGCACTTGACTTCACTCTGATTTGAGGAAGAGAGGCAGAGGGAGAGAGGGAGAGAGAAAGAGAAGAGGGGGGTGGAGGAGTGGTGATTGAGCGCAAAGGGGGCAGGACTTTTTCTCTCCGGGTCCTATTAAGAGCAAACTTTGTGTTTTTGTTCTCCAAGTTCAGCTCAGTGCTCTGCAGCCTGCACACAGTTCCTCTCTGCGGCTCTTTTTTCTTTTCCATTTTTCCTCAATGGTTTTGTTTCCTCGCCTGTTGGTAACTACTGTGTGTTTTTGCAAGGGGGGTTTGGACACCGGGAGGATGCGCTTTTTGGAGGAACAAATACTCAAAGTTGTGTCTTTGACCGCTCCGGGGTTGTTTTAGTGGATACATAGATGTTTGTCGGGCTGGAATGAACAATGGTGCGGCTCCTTGGTGCTCTGGCCGGGGGCATGCTCTGGTTTCGGCTACTGTTGCTGTGCGTGGTGGAGTTGGAGCTGGGAGCCGGGCTCTCTACTTTCCAGGGTTTCTATCTTCCACCTGCGAACGGGTCGCTTCTCACACCTGCCCGGAGGACAGATGGAGTCGTGCAGACCGTTGACCGGATTTACCACGGAGGAGGGAAGGTGGGCTACCTGGTGTACCTGGATGGGAGCCGGTTTCAGCTGGACATGGAGCGGGACGAGTCGGTGCTGTCGCATCACTTCAGCCCCCAGTACGTGCTCGCTATGATGGGGGAGAGCTCCGCGTCTTTGCAGCGGGAGTGCGTGTACCGCGGGACAGTGGACTCCAACCCGGAGTCTCTGGCCGTCTTCAACCTCTGCGGCGGGGGTCTCGAGGGCTTCTTCGCCGTGAACCACGCGCGCTACACCATCACGCCTATCATCAGGGCTAAGGGACACGAGCATGACGTGCGCGCCCTGCAGGACAAGGACGCGGAGAGCGCGCTCCATGTGTTCACGCGCGAGAGCTTCAGCTTCGAGGCCATGAGCGAAGGGCGCGAGAGCTGCGGGACGCGCGACGGGCGCAGAGGACGCAGGGATGCGGTGAGGAAACGCCGGCACAGAGGTCGGGAGAAGGGGAGGCTGGACAGAGAGGGGCTCGCAGTGGGACACACTGATGACCGCGATGCGCGCGGGCGAACATGGTGGAGCCGGCTCATCAAACCTGCCGCTCCAGAGTCTGGCACGCGGCGCAAAAGGTCAGTCTCACGCGCCAGGCACGTGGAGCTGCTCCTGGTGGCCGACGAGACCATGATAAAGAAATATGGCAAGGACTTGAACCACTACCTGCTCACACTGGCCTCCATCGCCTCCAAGCTGTACGGGCACGCCAGCATCGAGAACCCCATCCGGCTGTCGGTGGTGAAAGTGACCACGGTGAGTGAGAAGGAGAAAGGGCTGGAGGTGTCCAAGAACGCGGCGGCCACACTCAAGAGCTTCTGCAAGTGGCAGAACCAACAGAACCCGCTGGACGACGACCACCAGCATCACCACGACGCTGCCATCCTCTTCACCAGGCAGGTAAACAAACCCCCCTCGCTTTGCGAATCTCCACCTGTCCGCTCCTCTCACCTGGCAGGCGCACCGAGGCGCCGGCTCCGCCTGTCCTCCGTCCCACACAGAGGAGGGGAGGCGGCTTAGAGCCCCGGTGTGATGCCAAGGCAGCGCAGTGACGCCACGGTTTGTTTTGATGGTGCACGCGGTTGCAGCTGGTTGAGTGTAAGCTCCTGGCAGGTTGAGCCTGGAGAGGCTCATTGTAAATAGCCTATAAAACACACCCTGTCATGAAAATAACTCACACACGTCACCTTTTCATATTTTATACCTGTAACAGTCTAATTGCTTGTTATTTTTTCCTTGAGCCCGTAAGTAAGCCACACATAAAGCGCTAATCCTGTCTGACTGTGAACCATTCCCCATCAGAATCACAGTCAGTCAGAAGTGAAGACTGCACAACCTGCTCCCTCCATGTCTCTGGTTATACCCCCCCCCCCTCCCCCTTGTCTTTGTGTTTTCTGTTCCTGCTCCTCTTCCTTTATGCTGAATCCTGCGTGCGTAACGCAGCGCAGCGTCAGTGAAACAGCCATAAAAAGTGTATTTCCTGCGCCTGGTGTTTTTCTAGGCAGACTCCTCTGTCTCCAGCCTCCCCCTCCCAGTCCCCTGACAGCCCAAAAGCCTGTGTGATCTGAGGCGCGTGCCCACTCCCGTGCACGCACATTCTTCCCAGGGTAGGAGGTTTGAAATCAGCTGCTGGGTGCATTGCAGAAATATCCCTAAAACTCCCTTGAAACTGTTGTTAATTAGGTAGCCATCCCAGCCTTTCACTTCTCTCTCTCTCTCTCTCTCTCTCTCTCTCTGTCTCTGTCTCTCTCTCACCAGTCTGCACATTTTTTCCCAGTTACTTCTCCAGAGTCTGTCAGCTGGGGCTGGGAGCTGTCAGAAAAACAAACACATCCACCCTGTGAGAAGCCTTACGTTTACCGAGACCACACTCATTTATCCCTTCTTTCATCGTCCCCTCCCCCCTCCTTCTTCCTCCTCCTTCTCTCCCGGCCTGGTCCAAAGCCACAGGGCAGCAGCAGATCTACATGCATTTTTCACCCCTCCGGGTGTGGCTTCATGGTGGTTAGCTCCAGTTGACGTGTCAGATAGCTTCGCCTTGGACTGCGGTGTGTTCAAGTCATGCAAGGTTTTGTCATGGCTCGGGCGAAGCAGCAAGCACCAGAGGTATTACCCCGGATCTTCTGGTGCTGGTGCCAAATTGGCACCGTCATGCATTGGCACAGTAGCTGGTAGTGCATACCTGAGGTTGGCATGTTGGCAAAGTGGCACAGCACTTTTGTGCCAACCACCTCGTGGCTCCTTACTACCCTCGTTGCCACTACACCTGCACAGGCAGGGCTGGAAGAAGAAATGCCATCATCAGTTGGGTTTGGCAGGGTGGGCAGGGTCAGGCGGGCAGGGAAATAGTAATCCGGATGCCTCTGAGACAGCGTCAGGACAGGAGGGCTGAGGCAAAATGGACAGGAAGCTCTAATGAAACATAACAGGCAGTGTGCTGTGGATTTTTCTTTATTCTACTTGGTCCTATATGTTTGCATCCCATAATAAACAGCCAATATTAACAAGACACTTAATCTGTCTCACCTGTCGCAGCACTTGCATTATTCAAAACCTGTCTCCTGACCGTCATTCACGCACATCTCACCTTCACTCTTGAACCTGGGGGTCATCCTGTAGATGTAACCTGTCACCGGATTGTTATGACCCGTGTAACACAGTACAGACCTCTGGGAAACATGGTGAGGTGGGTGTGTGATCCCCCCTGTGTTGCATTTCTTTAGAACAAATGAGCTTAATTGCAGCTGAATTCGGTCAGCGTGCAGAGGACTTGAGTTTAGGGTCGTGACCTTAGTACTGTAGAGGTGAGTGTTTAAGCCAAAAAGAGCAGCCAGTGCCTTACTTCAAGTCTGACCTCTGAACTCTTTGGCTATTAAAGACCATTATCAGGACTCTGTGTTTTTGGCTGAGTGCGTAAATTGCTGTTTCTTTACCTTGTCGGTCATTATAGTGCGCAGACAAGCAGGGCCGAGGTTTGTTTACAGCTAAACACTTTGTGCCATTGAAAGAAGGTGGAGTGTAAAACAAACACATTCTTGCAAGAGTCCTTTTCTGGAGGAATTTGTATCCACTCATGGCAGCTAAGGACAAATTGTGGTAGGTGAAGATGCTGACATTTTGAAAAATGCTTATTTTAGCTCTATTCTTTATGAGAACCACACTTTCATTTAGCCATTAATCATTTTGCCAGGAAAGATCCCCATACGATGTCAAGAGCTGCACAAAAGTCGTCATTTTACAAACAGGATAGAGCCATTAATGTTTCCACTGAGAGAATGCCAGCGAGGAAATAACTTTGTTTGGCTCAGGTACCTCAGACCTCGCTGCTCTCTGAGCTGAAAAAGAAAAGACGTGTGATATACGAGGCACAGTAATGTGTTAACTATTTTCTCAGGAAAATAACTTTGGTTGTGGCCCCAATGGAGACTTAACAAAGAAAGGCAGACTTGGCAGTGCTGTAGATTCAGTTCAGATGTGTAATAGGAGATGGTCTGCATGGTAGTCCATTGTACTGAATGTCAGAGGTAACCAAATAGTAGTATAAGTCCTCTTTCCTCTTTGTATTTGGAGCGGCTGTGGAGTAAATCCTGATTATTGTAGTCTGCTGAACTAGAACTGAAGCTCATTGAAGACTTAGTGACTGTGAAGTCAGACCACATCGGGGTGGGAGGGGTGCAGCAGGGGTGCGCGGGGTTGGAGGGAACTCGTCCCTTTGTGGTCGGCTCCAATTACTCCAACACCCCGTACCCGCAGTGAGCTGACCCGTGTGGCGCTGTCACCCGGTCCCGCACATACCAGCACCAGAACAAAACAACAGGCACATTGAGGGGACTCCTCTGAGAGTGCATCTGTGTATATGGGAACATTAAATGTTATGCATGGCTGTGTTTACTTGTTGTGAGCTGGGACAGTGGACAAAGCCCCACTGTAAGGTGGCCAGAGAGCTGCAGGGCTGTGCAGATATTGACATACACATGTGTTCATGCTTTTACAGCAACAGCTCAAATATTTGGATTGATGTTTCTAGCAGGAACTTGTGACGCCACTGATATTGAACTGTTGACCTTTTCAACCCGGCCTGGTGTTTGGTCACTTTAACTGAGCTCAGGTCAAATGTATACTCAATACAAAATAATCAAATAATCAAAGTGACATTAAAAAAAAGGATTTATTACCACTGTCACATCCAAACAAAAACTTTAGTAACAAATCTTGTTTGTTTTTTATTACAAATTCTTAGTGTTAATAGAAAACTGTAAAACAACAACATAAATCATCATTATGTAATGATGATGGATGCAAGACACACACTGATGTAGACACAGCATGTACCTGTACACAATCCATTTCCATTAATCCATTGTTTAACACATAGTTACATCATTTACCAGTTTGAACTCCTTTCCTGAGCACTTGTCTCCTCTCGTCTCCTCTCTGTACATTAAAGTGTACATTTCCCAGCCCTCGCCCCCGTCACAGCTACTCCCTCTATTTGTTTTAACTGTTCTTGATATTTCACACATGCTGTATTTTGTCTGGCATATGTTGACAACCTGCAGACAGCTCATGGATCCCAAACCCTCAACCCTGGCCCCGGGTCTGTCGACATACACAACTGGCCAGAGTTCAGTCTGGTCCTGTGACAACACATGAACCTCGCCCTCTTCACACTGTGATGCACCGGTGGCTTTTAAGCTGCACTCCTGTTTACAATCATGGTCTGAAGTTTCCTATGAGCACTGACCTCGCGCTGGTTCATGTTGGTTCGTATCCTACAGTCGTTGGAGTCGTATCTGTGCGGGCTAGAAAACCAAAACAATGAGCTGAAAGACGCTAAAATGCTCCATAGAGCTGAGGGGGAACTGCACAGTGGGGTCAATTATCTGTGGGTTTCTTAACCATGAGCAACACTTTTCACATACAAGTAGTCATGTGATCCACTGTTGATATAAAAATATTGATTATAGGGCCTTTAAGTACAGTTGTTGAGTAAATTACTTTCCACCATCGTATAACAACCATGTAGTGTCTCATGCAGATGACATGTCAGGCAAGTAACAACCCAACCAGTGTCTGTTACTCACCTGTGGACCATCATGTCTCACGTCATTTGACAGCCTGTCCGTCACTGGTAGAAAAACTTTTCTTTTTTTTTTGTTGCATTTGATTAGCAGCTTTGTTGAAATGAGCCTGCAGTGTGTTTTAGTGTGTGTGTGTGTGTGTGTGTGTGTGTGTGTGTCTGGCTGGCTGGCTGGCTGTTTATTTAACACTCACCTTGGCCAAGATTGCAAGCGGTCTCTGATCTGTCTCCTGACCTTGACAACCTGCTTGCCACCTGTTCTTCTGTTATTTCTGCCAATATTTCTGTAACTCCTTGCTCTCCCAGGTCTTCTCTTTAATTTCCGGCGCCCCCCTCCCCACCCTTTCTCCTCGGCATCTGTTTCCTTCTCTTTCCCTCCCTTTCTTTTTTTTTTTTCTTTACTTGCCTGTCAGAGGTCTTTGGATGAAAACAAAGGACAACAATATATAGATAGGGATGTGACTTTTCAGGTATTTTTCACACGTCACTTTTTAATTTCTAACAAGAGATTCCCATTTTTCTCCTCTTCACCCACGTGTTTACTGTTAGTCTGTGCTGTACCAGTGAAAGCTGTGTATATAAGAAAGAGCGAAACAAAAACTGTTCTCAGACCAGAGCCTGGGAGGGGATGAATGAATAAATAAATGAAATGGAGGGAGGTGTTAAGGGCGTCGAGGTGAAAGAGTGTGGGAAACGGGGAAAGAGAAACAGATCAAATATGAAAGTAAACTTCTCTATACGTTCTCACTGTCTGATTCAAAACAAACAGGCTTTCTTCTATAGTTTTCAAGCTGGTCTGCGCACGGAGAAATAAAGACAAACTCAAGCATAGTTTGGCTCTCAGCTCAGCAGCCATTCATTCAGTCAGACTGAGCCTTTGTGTGATTCTCATGTATCCAACAGTCGACTCGCAAAAGCAGGCACACTCCTCCTGTACTCTCTGTGTGTGTGTGTGTGTTTGTGTGTGTGTGTGTGTTTGTGTGTGTGTGTGTGTGTGTGTGTGTGTGTGTGTCTGCCAACTAAGTGATGTATATGCTCTGTATGTGCAAGTAAACACCTGCTCATTTACATGTACATTCTTAAAGTTACAGTGTGTGCATCAGTGTGTATCTGCGTGTGTGTGTGTGTGTGTGTGTGTGCGTGTGCGTGTGCGTGTGCGTGTGCGTGAGGTGGCCCTGTCCAGTCAGTCATGTGTGTGAGTGCAGAACACAAGGCAGTTTGTTCCAAACCGATCGGCCCGGAACGGGTAAACACCCTCCCCAGAGCGCCTCACACACATGACCCAGCAGGCCCTGTCAGCACCACTTAACATGACGATTCATCCTCTCTACAGGACGTGTCTGTGTGTGTGTGTGTGTATGTGTGTGTGTGTGTATGTGTGCGTGTGTGTGCATGAATGCTTGCCTTCATACATCATACATCTGTGCACTGAATGCACATGCACATCAGATTGCACTGTGAGTGTGCATGTACATGCACGCGCACGCGGGCCCATGTGCAGGCGCGTGTGCGTTGATGTGACGGTATGATTAACTGATTGATCTGTGCGCTCAGCGGGGTCAGGCTGAGCCCCCCGAGGCCTCATCTGCATGGACATGTGTGGGAATCAAAACAAAGATCAATACTGTGCACTCTGGCACCCTGCGAGGAGACAGAGAGATGGTGGAGGCACAGGAAGGAAGTGGGCATTAAAAGCAGTGGATGAAAAATTAAAGGGCCACTGCGCCAATTTTACATACGGAGAGCTGGGATCATTGGGATCATGTCTTTGAATAAAACTATTGAGATAAACCCTGAAATGAACTGGTTTCCCCCTCCTCTCTGGATTAGTTTCAACTTACAGTGTTTCCTTTGTGCAGGACCTCTGCGGCCACCACTCCTGTGACACCCTGGGCATGGCGGACGTGGGCACCATCTGCTCTCCGGAGAGAAGCTGCGCCGTCATCGAGGATGACGGGCTTCACGCCGCGTTTACTGTCGCGCATGAGATAGGTAGGCATGGATACACACACCAGCATACAAACAATGAGGCAGACCAGCCAGGGCAAGCACACTCACATCTGTTGGCACATCTCCCTCTCACTGATGAATATCACCAGAGTGTTGTGGGATGTCATACACCTGTTTTCTTGTCTCATTCTCGCAGCATGTGCAAAAGTCCTGTCCTTTCAAATTTCTCCTGAAAAATGGCCTCTCTCTCTCTATCCCTCTCTCTCTCTCTCTCTGCCCCAGGTCACCTGCTCGGTTTGTCCCACGACGACTCCAAGTTCTGCGAGGAGCGCTTCGGAGTGAACAGCGACAAGCGGCTCATGTCATCCATCCTCACCTCCATCGACGCCTCTAAACCCTGGAGCCGCTGCACCTCGGCAACCATCACTGACTTCTTTGACGACGGCAACGGTGAGCGTGGGAGAAAGAGTCCGTGCTTGTGCTTTTGCAAACATTTGTTAATTGTGAGAACGTTTCCCAGCCAGTAGAAGTTTTGTTTTCTCCATCTACAAATCACCTCCATGTGAATTTGACTTTCCTCCTGCAGCACGTATCACTGAGAGCTGTTTACTACCAAACAAAACTGTAATCTCTTATTTACAATCCTGTTAACTTCCTCAAGAGTGTAGCTGCAGTTCAGCCAAAGACAAATCACTGGCAGGAAATCAAGATGAGTCAGACTTTGCATTTTGTGAAGCACTTTCATTCATGACGACCATAAAGCATTGTTGTTGACGTTTTGCTAAGCAGTTCCATCGCTGCTGGCATAAGTCATGTAGAAACAGCATCGGTTCAGACTGCTGCTGCTCCAGAACTTTTATTGAGTGATAAGTCACACTGGTTTGTCAAAAGACTAAAATAGACTTTCAACACCAGTGATAGGCAGACATGGAGCACCAAGACTCTGCAGGTCGTAGACCCTTTTTTCAAATTTCCTTCTTCTTCTTCTTCTTCTTCTTCTTCTTCTTCTTCTTCTTCTTCTTCTCTGCCACAGCCGAGTGTCTCCTCGATTCTCCTCGCCAGCCCCTTCTTGGCCCCGAGGAGCTCCCAGGGCAGAGCTACGACGCCGTCCGCCAGTGTCGCCTGGCCTTCGGCCCCGAGTATACGGTCTGCCCGGGCATGGACGTATGTTCTCGGCTGTGGTGCGCTGTGATTCGCCAGGGACAGATGGTGTGTCTGACCAAGAAGCTGCCGGCCGTGGAGGGAACGCCCTGCGGGAAGGGACGCATCTGCCTGCAGGGGAAGTGTGTGGACAAGACCCGCAAGAGGCACTACTCGGTAAGAGGGACAGACGTGGAGACAAGGGAGACAAAAATGGCAAAAATCTAAAATAGATTCCTTTTTATAGCTCAAAAACTGATATTTTAAGCACTCATTGTTTCCACATTGTACAAACTCATCTGTTGAAAAAGATGAAGCAGAGACGGAGACACTTGAAGTGAAAAATGTCACAGGTTCCTTATGTGGCTCCACTGTGTGGTCTGCTTTATTTATGTCTCTGCTGATCTGTGCTGTTTGTTCTCTTGGCCTCACTTAAACAGATCTAAATTGAATTTGGCCTTAATGACTTCAAGCACCAAATCTGTTCTTGGCAGAGTGTCGACACTGTGTGTGTGTGTGTGTGTGTGTGTGTGTGTGTGTGTGTGTGTGTGTGTGTGTGTTTGTGTGTGCGTGTGTGTCACGGAGAGAAAAAAGAGTGAAAGTCAAAATGAATGGGGAAAGAGGGAAAGAATATTTTCTTTGTGTTTATTTCTCACATGACATTTGATGAGTCTGACACGATCCTTGGCGGCCGACTGAGCGCGTGGATCCAACTTCTGCCTCGCTTCATTTTCTCTGCCCTGCATGACGACCAGTTTGCCGCTGAGAGCAACGTTAACCCCCCCCTCCATTTTAGACTTCACAGTCTTTTAACCTCCCTATATTTCTTGCAGTATGATTGCAGATTAAGTAGCTTTTACTGTGGAAAGAAGAAGTTCAGGAGCAGTGGAACTAAATGAACAGACTGTTTCCAAAGAAGCTTTGCAGAGCTTCAGGATCATTAAATCAACTTTGTCTCATAAAATGTCAAGAGCTACTTATTCAGTCATTTTTTTTATACAGCTGGTTGGAAAAAACAAAAATTAGTTACCTCGAGAATTTCATTCAGGCTCTTCCTCGGGGGAAGCATGTGAGCTGCAGCTTTAAACAGACTTTAGTTATTATCACATGAGGTTAACCTCGTTCTTTTTCTGTCCGTCTCTTTCCACAGCCCCAATGCGTGCCACATTTTTCTTTATCACAAATCTGTCTCTTTCCCTGTGACACGTGGCTTGGCCAGCAACCACTCTGACTTCCAACATGTCTGATAAGCACTAATTGTCCTCTTTCATCCCCCTCTACTCTCTGATCTCTCCTCTGCTGTCATTTCCCCCGACCCTTATCTCCTCTTTCATCTTCCCTCTCCTCTCCTTTTCTTTTTCACCCCTCCCTCTCTCAGGCTTCCAACCATGGCAGCTGGAGCTCTTGGGGTCCTTGGGGTGCGTGCTCCAGAACGTGCGGAGGTGGGGTGCAGTTCGCCCAGCGTCTGTGCAACAACCCGCCGCCACGGAACAACGGGCGCTACTGCACCGGGAAGAGAGCCATCTATCGGTCCTGCAACGTCACACCGTGCCCGGCATCAAGTGAGTGTGACACCTTGAGGATACACGCTTGATCATGATAACATTCTCCTAATATTTCAAGCTAAGAAATATAAAGTCTGTCATTTCACACTTCTTGTAATTGAACTTTTCTCTAGATAAGAATTTCCGTCAGGAGCAATGTGAGGTGCGCAACGGTCCCCAGACGGATCCTAAAGGGGTGAAGACCTTTGTGGAGTGGGTGCCGAAATACGCCGGAGTTCTCCCTAAAGATGTGTGCAAGCTGACCTGCAGAGCCAAAGGAACAGGATACTATGTGGTGTTCTCTCAGAGGGTGAGTTAATAAGAAAGAAAAGGGTTCTGTGTATTTCATGGAAAACAAAACAAAGTGTTGGATGGTGATATCGTGACTCTGTGTTCAGGTGGCAGACGGGACAGAGTGTCGTCCTTACAGCAGCTCAGTGTGTGTGAAGGGGAAATGTGTGCGGACGGGATGCGACGGCATTATCGGCTCCAAGCTGCAGTTTGACAAGTGTGGTATCTGTGGAGGAGACAGCACGGGATGTATACGTGTAGTGGGCAACTTCACAAAGAAGAGGTAAGAGACAGAGACGCTCACATATTATAATCATCAGCTGGCACGCAGACAAAGAGAATACTGTCTCATGTACTGATCCGATCTTCCCTCTCCTTTCTCTCTCACTAAACAGTAAGGGCTACACTGACATAGTGAAGATCCCCGCAGGCTCCACCCACGTAAAGGTTCGTCAACACAAGGCCAAGGACCAGACCCGCTACACCGCCTACCTGGCTCTCCGACGACCCAATGGCGAGTACCTCCTAAACGGCAAGTTCATGATCTCCACCTCCGAGACAATCATCCCATTCAATGGTTCTGTACTGAACTACAGTGGCTGGAGTCAAAGGGACGAATGGCTTCACAGCATGGGCCCCGGGGCCCTTCAAGAAGCCTTGGTGGTTCAGATTCTAGCAACAGATGCCAAAAAGCCCCTGGATGTTCGTTATAGCTTCTTCATGCCTCGCCGGACGGCCCCACAGCAGCCGTCAGCTCCACTCAACCCCAACCCAAAGTCAACCCCTGCACAGAGCACTACAACGGTCTCAACCACGACAAGAACCACCACCACCTCCACCACCAGTAGCACCACTACTTCCTCCTCTGCTCCCATCGTCCTGGTTCCAGGGCCGCCTACAGCTGCAGGTCCCTCAACCACTCCCCCAGGGGCCCAGTGGGTAACAGGCTCCTGGATGACCTGCTCCAGGACATGTGACACTGGCTGGCAGAGCCGGACAGTGCAGTGTAAGGACCAGGACGGGAAACTGTCCAAAGGATGCATGCTGGGCTCCCGGCCCTCCGCCTTCAAACACTGTCTGGTGAAGAAATGTTGAGGAGGAAGGAGAAGAGAAACAATGTGTAGGAAGAAGTTGTAATCTGTACTTCTGATAAAGGTCTCCAGTGCTGGATGTAGGACCAAGGAATGGACCATTGAACAGACTAAGACATAGACCTTAAGCAGGACTGTGAATGTTGGCGGAAAGCGCCCGGACCAGTCATACAGAGACTCAGAGACATGTAGCTGACTATGAGCCAGAGGAATGTCCTGGATTCATAGTAGCGATACAGAGCTGGAGTAAATTGGAGGACAGTTCCCGTGTGATAGTGACAAGTACTGCCCTGGCATAGCCAAGAACTTGAGTTGCATGTCATTTCCACATAGACAACAACTGATTGTCTTTACATCGGTCCTCCAAACCCTGGAGGCTTAGTGTGTGTTGCCCTGTAACGGCATGCATGTTGTGTCTTTTTTATGCTATTTCATGTGTTCTAATCACTGTGGGTATTTGAAAGTCATGCCATCATTTCTGCCCGCATGGTCGTCCTGTTCCACGCCGGCTTCTGTAACGGGAACATTTTATTGACTTAGCAGCTCGTAAAGTTTGTTACAGGAAGAATGTTGAAAATGTGAAATCACTGGATGGTAGGCAGTCTTTATAGCAATCTTCATAGCAACCGCTAAGTAACAAAAACATCAACAAAGGTCTCTTCCATCATATAATCCATCAGGTTTTTTTTTTACATTAAACCAACTTGAGAGCTACTGATGGCCAAAGAGTATATTAGAGCATCATCTCTGCTAAGATTTCTTACCAATATTCTCCCTGTAAATATTCTACGAGCCACTCTGTGTCTGAAATGTGCACGTTACAGGAGATGGAGATGCGTATGCTGGTCCTGGATCAGGGCTACCCTCGTGCCCCGACTATAAGCGTTCTGTGTCTTTATTTGACTGATCTGTCCAGCTGAAAACTGGGAAACAGCATCACCCATAGTGATGAACATTAAGTCATTAACATCCATAAGAAAGTGTAGGTTTATGAATACAATTCCACAGCTGAGGATGCATGAGGGAGGGGGATTTCACGACCAAGAATGAATGGATAAACCCAGACATTTGATTAATGGGCAACGCATTAAAAAAAGCTGGGAAGCTAATCAGTCATACCAAGGTCCGGTCAGTCCCATGTCCTCTCTATGGAAGAACGTTTACCCCACACACACAGGTATTAGATACACCTGTACAGCGAAGAAACAGCAGCATGGTGTGATGAGATAGAGAGGGAGAGTACGGTGGCCATCAGAGGACAAACCTTACAACAGTTAAATCGACAAAGGGGCAAAGTAACCACGACACTCCTTAACATTTATGGAGGGTAATGATGAATCAGATTTGGTGGTGATGCTTGATTTTTGTGTGCGTGTGTGCGCGTGTGTGCGCGTGTGTGCGCGTGTGTGTGCGCGTGTATGTGTGTGTGTGTGTGTGTGTGTGCGCGCGAACACATTCATGCACCCAGGCCTGTGTTTAAAGCACATACAGTACGTACCGTGAACATGTGTTCTGTTCTACTGTGTCTTGAAGCTTCTTAACTCTCAGTTCCACTTGTATCAATCATTCTGCTGGTGCTGGGAGGTTTACAGTCCTCATGTTTGTGTGGTTTTTTTTTGTTGTGGCAGTCAATGTCTGTTTGTCTGTTTATCTGTTTAGGAAACAATGCTAATATGACAATGTGTGCCCTGGATACTTGCAACGACAGCAAGAGAGATACTAATGCAGTCATTACTGTCCTTTTGCAATTCAACTCTTTCTCATTTTTATTTCTTTTCATCACTCATTCTCTATTTTACTCATACATCCTGTATTTGCAATTTATTATTTCAACCTGTCTCCAACCCTGATGGGTGGAGTTTGCCAAAATATGACGATTCAGATTGTGCCACAGAATGGCTCATTAGGGCAGCAATGGTATTGTGACATTTGGTTGAAGATGTTTAAGGGTCAGGTCACCCAGGAAATTAATTTTCTCACTTACTCACTTTGAGTGATCCAACTCCACCTTAACAGGGAGACTGGGAGTTCATTCTTGCTGTTCACAGCTTTGAAAACTTACTTTTAATAATTCACCAGAACTTCTTTCTCCAAAAACAATCCCTGAGTTACAGACAATCCACTGACCTCACTGTCAACACTTTGTACTGGAACTACTTTCTACAGTGACGACTGGGGAACTCTGAAAGAAATGGATTGACATATTAAAAATGCGCTGAGACTTAGACGGGGAGATTGACACCACTGTGGCGTCTGCCCCTTGAATATGAAGCAGCCTACCCTCACCTCTGAGGTTAACTGCTCAGCACATCATAATCACTAAAAAACAAAGCATAAACACAACAATTTACCCGTTTCCAGTCTTAATGCTAAGCTAAGCTAACAGGCTGCTGCAAATAACAATCTGCGTTAGCGTGTGTGACTGTGAGAAAATATGCTTTTTTGTAATTTGGGTGAACTGACCCTTAAAAATCCTCCACCCAACCAAACAGTATCATCCATCTTTAGCAGCAGCAGTTTAACCAGTGATGCCTTCAGACTGTAGATAACATGAATATGCCTCAAGGCCAGGCTTCTTTTTAAGACAACATATGAAAGAAAAAAAAAAATACTCTCATGGATGGTAATTAAGCCTCAGCGCTACAAAGTCCTGTTGATTCCACACCTAATGGACTCAGAAATACCTTCCTGTAATTGTGTGAAACTTTCCGGCGCCCTTCCTATTTTCCTGTGTGGCAAACCTCACCCATCTGGCACCTGTGCAGGAGAAAACAAACCCTGAGAAACATTTTCTGATACTACTCGACCCGGGTCAACATACCACTCACAAAGTGTTCTCTCTTCTTGCCTCACACGTTCAGATTTATTTACACAATGTAGACATTTTTGTACATGAATAGATCTTTCATATATGTGTTAGTATTCAACCATATTTACACAGAAATTTACACATACAGACACACACCATTGAAACTATCCATCAGTCACACAGTTTTTGAGTATTTCAGACACACACACTCCACACACACACACACACACACACATATACATACACACAACTTACTCTGACTCTTCCAGTGGGGAAACCCCTCTCGCTGAACGACAGAAACACAGCACTGAACTTGTAATTTATTGTTTGTACAACTGGTATGTGTGAATAAAAAAACAATGAGATGAGTTTTATTTATTATACTAATTTTGTATCAAATTACTATTTAACTTAGGAATATGACTGTGCAGAATCATTCCTTTGTAAGAATATAGTGTTTCTTTTCTAGTCATCCACATGAATATATGTACATAAAATCTATATATTTAAATGTCTTTGTCTCTGTGTCGTTTATATTGTCATTGCATTAAAACATTCATATTTAGTTCTTATCACATGCATTTGAGCAGTTTCAAATCAGTCAAGAAACTTCATTTGACTTCCCAGTAAACCTGCCTGCAATGGTGTCATTTAAGAAGATGATTAAGGCATATAAAATAAAATAAAACATTGAAATTAAACACTCAGATCTGAGACAATGACTCCAACTGCATTAATCACTGTGTAATAGTAGGCTGACACTCAGGGGTCATCATTAACTTTATCAGGCCCGTGGAAATAAGATAAATTCCAAAGCACCGAAGAGAAAACAGGCAAAAATATCAATAAATAAAAGGTGCTTCTCATTTTACAGTAACAACCTTATTGTTGGTTGCAGGTTAACCTATAAAAAATACAACATATTTAATTATCCGGTCACATGATTTGGATGTAAAATATTCATCTGAAAAGTAATTGTCAGATAAATGTGCAACATTTTCCAACTTTGCCACATCCAAACATCTCCCGCTCATCATCTCCTGAAGTGTAGCCCATGATCACTCATTCTCCACACAGCAGGTTACAGTGCTGTACCAAGCTCGCCTCCCTGCGGCCGCTGGCTCCCGGCTTGTACAGCTTCATGACAAACCGTAAAACCATGCGTGATTCAAAGGCGCCGCCTGTCGGCTGAGTGTGTCATTGCTCCATCAAGTGCTGGGAAATCTCCGCTGCACTCCGGGGATTTTCCTCAATACGTGCCTACCATCTGCTGGGAAATCATGACACTACAACGCTTCACTTTTATGACCTGTTGCTCTTAAGGTGGACTTCCACAATCTGCTCCCTCAGAGACTGATGAGTGATGTTTGCGTCAGTGAGTCAAAAGTAGGAAATGATGCCAATAAGCACCTTTGCTGAAAAATGAAACCGATTATATAACAATTAAGTCTTCGTTCTTGAAATATTGTTATATGATATTCTTTTATGTTGACTATTGTTTTATCATTGTTTATACAGATGTGAAGTTTTATATCAGTTCTTTTCTCGAAATGAATGAGGTTTTTCTTTGCTGTGAATGGACTTCCAGTTGTTTGTGATGTCCTTCAGTGCGCTGTTGATAATAGGATCTTTGCTTTGCCAGTTACTTTTAATGAAACTCCAGCGTAAACTCTTCCTGCCTGTTGCAGAGGAGGAACAGTCCGTGCGGGCGGGGGAAGAGGCCGGAGGACAGGGGCTCTGTCTGCCTCGGTTTGAGCGCAGGGGCGCCGGATGGAGCAGCCGCTCCACCTTAAGACCTCAGCGGCCCCTCTCTGCTCCCTCTCCCCGGAGAGGAGAGCTGCGGAACCCGGCCACAGCGCACCACAGCCGGCTTGGCACGGAGGAGGTGAGTACGGCTCCCGGAGCCCTGGCCAGCACGATATGGTTACCATTCCCCGACCTGCTGCCATCTCCCTTCTCCAGTTGCACTGACACTACAACACTGCTCCACATCAGCCACTGCTGCCTGTCACACTGATCTGTGTTTATAGGCTGAGGTTTAATAAGCGCAGCTCAGAAAGTTATAAAGTAGAGCCCAGCATCAGAGTCCCAAGTCAGAAGTTTGTTTTTTATTTAGGCCACTCATATAAATAGACTTCATGTAAGCTCTGTGAGTGAAATGATTCACCAGGCTGTATGATCAGTTTTAATGGAATATGTTCAGTAAAAATCATCGGGGCTGTGGTTGTATATGTTCATATTGTCACAGACAAACACAGAGAAGCAGAACAGTCCCTCTGCCCAAAGCTCTACACGCACTATGATTGATTATTATGGCAACGCTCCAGGTCGCTGGTGCGTTTTCGTTGCGCACGGGATTTGGCCCCTCTCAGATCAAAGGGCCCTCAGGAAAGGGGTGGTCCCGGGCAGGGGGATATATAGGAGGGACCGGCTCTGTTCTGACTGCAAGGCAAGAGCAGAGAACAGACTAGACGGGCCAGCAGAGCAAAAGCCTGCCCCGAACTCAAAGAGCTAAAACTGAGACATCTGCTGGGTTTGAAGAGGGAGAGACCTGTTGGAATTTACTGCTGAGATCCAGCTTTGATTTTCATTTAATGAAAGGACTTTTGCAACAAGTCAGACCTGCACATAACTTTAAATGAGTTTTGCACTGGATTTGATCCCTTTTTAGATTTTTATGCGTGTGGACAGTTTTGTGGAAGTTCGTTGGTTTTGTAGCTTATAGTGGAAAAGCTTTTGAAAGGATTTACTTGCTTCCTCGTAGAGACTTTATTGTCAGTTTCTCTTCGCTTGTCGGATTTCACAGTTACATGATGTGGTTTTTACGCGTTTCCATTGGTTTAATTCTGTGCGTCGCCGCGGCGCACAGCGCCTGGGAGGAGAGCACCGTGGTGCCGGTCAGACTAGACCCCACAGCCCGGTCGGAGAGCGAAACCGAACCGTGGCGGACTCTCTCCGAAGAGGAGAAGGAGAAGGAGGCCGAGATGAGGGTGTACCGGTTGGACGTATTTGGTAATGAGCTGGTCTTGCAGCTAGAACCCGACCAGACCTTCTTGGCTCCGGGTTTCGTCTTCCACATTGTGGGTAGTCCCGAGTCCGAACCGACGCAGGAACCCAAGAGCGGAGCAGAGCCGGGCTGTTTCTACTCGGGCACGGTGAACGGAGAGGAGAGCTCCGCCGCTGCGCTCAACCTGTGCCACGGACTCAGGGGCGGATTCTACTTTCACGGTGAAGAGTACTTCATTCAGCCCCTCAACTCCAGCGAATTCCTGGGCACCGAGGATGATGTCCACACGATCCGCCGCAGAGGTCGGGCAGCTTTGGCTGAGGAGGGGAGCTCCAAGTGCGGGGTCAACGAGGACGAGGAGAGGGTGCCAAAGAATCTGGAGAAAGAAGCAAAGCACGGAGCCGCTAACGCAGACCAGACAGGTAAGGCTGCAGAAACACTCCACACATGCACACTCTATCACAGGCGCTCTGTCTGTCAAATTATATTAGATGGAGCCCGAAGTCTCAGACCTGAGACACAGTCAGAGGAAACAGTGAGGGAGTGATTGATTTACTCTAGAGACTGTCGTGAGATGCTCCAGCTGATCTCCAGCTGTATACAAACAGCCAGATAAGTTATCTCAAGCAGCCTGTAAGAGGTGAATATGTGGAACAAACTGCTGCAGGCTGGGGGTGCTCGTGCGCCAGGGTGCGCGGTATAAGTAATGTACTCAGCTACCTTTTTTGACAGCCGTCTACGCGCAGGAGAGGAGGAAGGGAGGGCTGGGGTGGGGAGGAGAGGAGAGGAGAGGAGAGGAGGGGGAGCAAACTTCTCCAAGGGGAAAGAGGAGGAGGAGGAGTGACGGAGGGAGGGGAGGGGAGGGGAGCAGCGGGGCTGGGGCCAGCCACAGCCCGGCGGTGCTGAGACGTGGAAACTCGCCTCCTGGTACTACTAGCACCGGCAGACATTTTTCTCCAGAAAGGATTTTCTCCCTTCACCCTTTATTCTCACCCGCATAGTTTTCCACCAGAAAAGGTCATTTGGGGAATGTGGACCCTGAGGAGGAGGAGCCGCCGGTGGTGTGACGCTGAGTCACGGCAGCCAGGCTCCCCCAGGCACATCCGGAGCCTCTATCCCTCTGAAAAAAAACAGCCTTTGTAGCTGCTGTTTAGAAGACTGGCAGAGTTTTGCAGTGCGCAGACTTTTCCAGACAAAATAACAAATGTCTCATGAGTTACAGTGCAGTGAATTTAGGACTGAAACCTGATCAGTCACATGACCCGTGAGGTCAGTTTGGTCTGACCTCTGTCTCTTCTCTCCCCTCAGCCCACCACAGGACCAGGCGTTTTGTTTCCACCCCTCGCTACCTGGAGATCATGCTGGTGGCTGACCAGTCCATGGCTGAGTTCCACGGCGCTGGGCTCAAACCCTACCTCCTGACAGTCATGGCAGTGGCATCCCGCCTCTACCGCCACCCTACCATCCACAACTCCATCAGCCTGGCGGTGGTGAAGCTGCTGGTGGTGTACGAGGAGGAGCGCGGCCCTCAGGTGTCATCGAACGCCGCCATGACCCTCCGCAACTTCTGCCAGTGGCAGCGGCAGCACAACCCGCCAAGTGACCGCCACCCTGAGCACTATGACACCGCTGTGCTCTTCACCAGAACAGTAAGTTGCTGTGGAGGAAGAGGAAGTGTTAAAACGTGATAGAAAAAGAGTAAGAAAAGCAGCTTTCAAGAGAATCCAGATGTTCATTTTCCCCTGTCTGTCTCCTCAGGATCTGTGTGGGGCTCACTCATGTGACACTCTGGGCATGGCTGATGTTGGCACAGTGTGCGACCCTGACAGAAGCTGCTCAATTATTGAGGATGATGGGCTTCAAGCAGCATTCACCGTGGCACATGAACTGGGTAAGTAGGAAGAAGTCGATGTTCTCGTGTGTGAGAATGTTATAAATGACACACAGATACTCCAGGTTTCAGGACAGAGGTGCTGACGAACTCTTATTTCATCTCTGTCCTCCAGGTCACGTCTTCAACATGCCTCATGATGATGCCCAGCTGTGCTCCGGGGTCAACGGTGCCCACTGGGGCTCCCACATGATGGCCTCCACCCTTTCCAACCTGGATCAGCAGCAGCCATGGTCCCCCTGCTCCGCCCTCATGGTCACCACCTTCCTGGACAACGGCCATGGTCAGTGCCTGCTGGATAAGCCGGTCAAACCTCAGCCGCTCCCCCAGCCCCTCCCCGGGACGGTCTATGACGCCGACCATCAGTGCCGACTGACCTTTGGCGAAGACTCCCAGCACTGCCCCGACCTGAGCACCACGTGCGCAGCTCTGTGGTGCACTGTGACAACATCCAATGGTTTGCTGGTGTGCCAGACCAAGAACTTCCCCTGGGCTGATGGTACGCCATGTGGCCATGACAGCTACTGCCTGGCTGGACATTGTCTCACGAAGAGTCAAGCTGCTAAACACCAGGTAGGAACCACACCCAATGTAACCACACTTCAAAACACTGCCTTATCCAAAAGAATATTAAAATGGTAATGTTTATGTCCCTGGTGCTTTCAGACTCCTGTCAATGGTGGCTGGGGAGTGTGGGGTCCCTGGGGCGACTGCTCTCGGACCTGCGGTGGAGGAGTGCAGTACTCCTTCCGCGCCTGCGACAACCCTTTGCCCAAGAATGGGGGCAAGTACTGTGAGGGCAAGAGGATCCAGTACCGCTCCTGTAACACAGAAGCCTGCCCCGATACCAATGGTAAGAGATTCTTAACAACTGAGACCCACTCTCCTCTTTCCTTATGTTTTGATGTACCTTGCACACTGGTGTGAAAGTTAGCCTGCAGGCCCGAGTGGACTAGCATTAAACCTGACCTCTGCCTGTCTGTTTCTCAGGCCTGTCGTTCCGTGAGGAACAGTGCCTGGCCCACAACGACATGTCGGCCCAAGTGTCGCTGGGTTCAGGAGAGGGTGTTGAGTGGGTGCCTAAGTATGCTGGAGTTTCACCCAAAGACCGCTGCAAGCTGGTGTGCCGGGCCAAGGGAACTGGATACTTCTTTGTCCTCAAATCTAAGGTGAGAGTTGCCAGATGCTATATTATCTGAATAAACTCTGTGTTTTTATGACTCTGGTTTAGAGTAGTGTTACAAGATTCTCAAGGTCTCGGCTGAAAGGCTCATAAAAGTGTCTTCGCTTGTGCAGACCTGCAAGTTGAAGCATCAGCTATTGTAATTTCTCTCAGCCCTCAGGCTACAGCCTTGCTGGGGAAAAGACTTTTACTTTTTACCTTTTGACTCAGACACTTATGTAACACTTTTACTAGACATCACCCTAAAGTTGCATTTGTGTGTCTCTGTTGCCCCCAGGTGGCTGATGGCACACCCTGCAGCCCAGACTCCACCTCAGTTTGTGTTCAAGGCCAGTGTGTCAAGGCGGGATGTGACCGTGTCATCGGCTCTAACCAGCGCTTTGATAAGTGTGGTGTGTGTGGTGGAGACGGCTCTACCTGCAAGAAAGTGTCTGGTGCTCTGGAGCGTGCCAGGTAAACAGCTGACAGCGTTTCTGCTCTACTAAACCTGAGAGTCTCATAATATACAGTGAAACCTCATCGCATGTTTGTCACAATGACTGAGTTTGACCACCATCTGTCTCTGTTTCAGGCCTGGTTACCAGGATGTTGTAACTATCCCTGCTGGTGCCACCCACCTGGACGTTAAGCAACGTGCCCCAGGCAACGGTCGTCATGATAACAGCTACCTGGCGGTGCGTCGTCAGGATGGAACCTATCTGTTAAATGGTGATTACAAACTGATGACCATGGAGACTGACATTCCTCTTCGAGGGGCACTGCTGCGCTACAGTGGCTCCGCCGCCACCCTGGAGCGCATCCGGAGCTTCGCCCCACTCCCCGAGCCCCTCACCATCCAGGTGCTGTCTGTAGGGGAGGCCCCAAGGCCCCGGGTTAAGTACAGCTACTTCGCCCCTAGGCCCAATAATGCTGCTTCCTCCAACAACAGTGGAGGCCGCCGCCAGTCCATCAATGCTATCCGAGAGGTGGGTGGAGCCGAGTGGACCCTGAGGGAGTGGGGTCCATGCTCCCAGACCTGTGGGGGAGGAATGCAGCAGAGAGAGGTGGTGTGTCTGGACCCCCAGGGTCGTCTCTCCAGAGATTGTCCAGAGGAGCTGCGCCCCTTAGCCTCACGGTCCTGCGCCTCCCAGCCCTGCCCCTCCTGGCTTCTCGGAGAGTGGTCTATGTGCTCCAAGACCTGTGGCCGAGGCTTCCGCAAACGCCAGCTGCGCTGCATCGGCCACGACGGGCGCACGCTTACCCATGACAGCTGTGACCCCAAAGACCGGCCGCGACCCCTGCTGGAACTGTGCAATCAGGGTGCCTGTTAAGGACTGCTTCACAAATCTAACCTCCTGTCATCCACCCAGCTTTCAGAGAGAAATCAGATAAACACTCTGATCTTCACTGCCTCCTTTTTTTCCTGCAAACAATCTAAAGAGGCTGATGAATGTTTACATCCAGAGCCAGACTGCTGCAGGTTTCCATGGGTTCCAGGTAGTCTAACAGTCCCACATGTCAACGGCTCCACAATGACTGTGACTGTAACCGACTCTCATCCATTGAACCACAGTGGCACCGCCACCTAAACGCAGCAACAAAGACTGATTACAGTTTGCTGCCCGTCTGTCCTCAGCACAGCAGTGGCACATTTCGCCTCCCATAAAGGAGAAGAAAGCATGGACATTCCTGATTTCCTAAAAAAAAAAAAAAAAAAGCATGCTGCTTACCGTGCCAATGTCATGCTTGAGTGTGTGTGTGTGTGTGTGTGTGTGTATGTGTGTGTATGTGTGTGTGTGTGTGTGTGTGTGTGTGTGATGTGAGACAGCGTGTGTGTGTGTGTGTGTGTGTGTGTGTGTGTGTGTATCAAATTTTTAATGCATGTATATGATGTTTGTCCAAGCTGGGCTGGACAGACACATAAGGGTTGGGGTGGGGGAGGTTATTGCAGAGTATATAAAGAAACAAATGAAAGAGAATAGCTCATATTCTACTTGCTCACCCCATCAGGTATGGAAAATAAGATAGCTCATAGTCATAGTGTTTATGTTCAACCTTGCCGGTCTACGTTTATTTATCACAAACCTGTAGCACTTCAGCTTTGTTTTTACCAGTGGCACATTGTAACACCCAGTCGTCTCTAAATGCCTCAGTACACCGTACTTTGTCCTTTAGCCATATCCTTCCCTCGTCTACACAACCTTCAGTGAGGGAACTCTTTAAAGACCAAAGAAGAGTGTGTGAGTGTGTGTGTGTGTGTGTGTGTGTGTGTGTGTGTGTGTGTGAGCATGAGGAATGTGTGAGTGTGTGGAGACCTAAAGAGGGACTTGTCTCCTGCTACTACTTCATAAGTAAGTCTCTCCTGCCTTCTGCGAAGGCACTTTGTTTTTGTTTTCTATCAAGTTTTGTTTCTCTTTTGTACAGAATATCCAAACATTATTTATTTTTGTACAGCCTGTTAAATATAATCATGTGGCTTTTTTAATATTATTTTTTATTTGTTATTGAGATCACAGAAGGAAGTAGAATATATAGAGTATTTATACAGTGTTATATATATATGGTCCTAGGTTCATGAATAAAGTATCACATTGACTTGTGCAGCTAATGTCTCCAGAGTGGTTTGTCTTTTTGAACTTGGAACATGAACTGATCATTGACCCTGTGACACGATGAATTCCACAGCCCCTGACCCTAAATTTAACCACCACAGCTACATGTCAGCCCCCCCGACCTAACTCTACCCCTAACCTTAAAACCGAGTCGCCTCCGAACAGCCCTTCGAAGTAGTGAAGACTGACCAGAAAGTCCTCACATACACTTCCTCATGATGTGAATGCATTGTTTGTAATTCAGGTTCTGTCCACTAGATGGGCGAGTTTCCTGTCATCCAATTTGGATAGCCAATTACTCCACAGTCTTTAAACAGTGCAGTTAAAGGGCAGTAACTCCAGTAATGGCCAGATTAAACTGCTAGAGGGCAACAACGAGCTGCTCGGCCCCAACCATCCTTTTTGGGGGGCCCCTGAACTCTGGAGCCAAAGGGTAGTTTCCTGCTTTAGTAATCCATCCTCTGGGTTTTAAGGACATAATCTAATGTCCTTTTATTATCATTAATCTAATGTTTTTAGCCTTTTTAAAAGAGGTTTTATACGTTTGTCTGAAGTATATGTGCATTTACAGTTGTAGGAAAAGAAGCTTCATTACAAGGGGAAGAAGTATAAAAATATAAATTGCCCTACCACAGTCCTTTGTTTGTTCACTGATGAGTCACTGCTATAGTTGGACTGGTAACACAGTTATTCCCACATGACATGAGCTCCACTTCATACTTATATATGAGTGAACACAACACAAAATGTGAGCTCAGTATTAGAATACATGCATCACGCTGAATCAGCCAGACTACTGAACAACTGCCCTACTTCCACCTCTAAAACTGTCTAATCAATTGTAATCAATACACTGATACACTATTTTAAATTCAACAAACAAGCAGCCATTTCAAACAGAACTGCAGCTTTATTTAGAAAACTGAACAAGTCACTGAAATAACCCTTAGAAAGTCAATATATGTTCACTATAGCTTACACCCCTACCTGACTCTCTTCTCTTTGATATCGCAGCCAGACGTCTCCCATGAACTTTCTGGACCCCAGCTGAGACCAGAAAGTCCCGTGGCGTTGTTTCTAAAAACTGGAGCCTGTGTGGCACTTCCTGTTTGGCCCTGAGGAAGATGATCCCCTGCCTTGTCGGCTCCCATACAGCACAAAGGAAATCATTATCCTGTAATTATAGATGGTTAAGAAGAAAATTGGCCATCTCTGTAATCTGCGTAATAACATAATGTGCAACCAGACTCTGTAAGCCTAAACAACTGGGGCATGCAGGGATGTTTACTTCATGTTTTTTTTTCTGACTTCACGATTGACAAAGAAAAAGCTAAACTAGGGAAGAAAAATGTCAACATTAATATGTCCTCCTGTAACGAAACAACTTTCTTACCTGCTTGTTTTTTCATGTCTCAGTGTCACATCATTACAGCTTAAAAGAAACATCTGGAAGGCATTATGAATCACTGCTGCTCAATGTGGGTGGCATTTCTGAGAGCTAAATTATCTTCCTCCTTTTGCCACCCTTGGTTGCCCACAAAGGTTTGTTTGAATTATGGCAAATTTGATCCAGTTTTCAAACTTCCAAAGAAACAGCATTCATGTTTCCAAATGTATCAGTGCAAAGAGGAAAAGTTGATTGTATTACAGAAGTCCAGGTGTTTATTTCTACATACATTACTTAAGCAGTCAGGACGTTGTGGTTTCAGCCTTTGCTGCAATGCTGCTGTGGTTTCCGACTTTTACATAAAAACATATAAAAGGTTGCAAAGATATCTTCATAAAATATGATCGTGATTTTGCCACAGTCGCAGCAGGGTCATATATTATTCTTATAATCGACACCACTTTTGTACAGTGAACTTTGGCTAATGTTAACAACCTTCCAGGGGCCATTCCAAAAGTATAATTTAGCTCTTTAATGATCAATTTTATGGCTGTAGTTAAGTCACCACAGGTTGGCACAAGTGGCGTTTTTGATCCAAAGTATTCCCAGCACAGAGTGAGGTGTGGGGGGGGGGGGGGGGGGGGGGGGGGGGGGTTGTGGTCTGCCCCCGTCCCTGCCCTATTTTGTCCAAGTACAAGGATCCTTTTTTTTTCTTTTTTTAATCATACATGTTGCTGGACAAAAATATTCCGGGTATCATTAGCTTCTTCATCTAGTGGAGGATAATGTCCTCTGGGCATGGTCAGACTCTGGATATCACATATTAACTCTGTGCAATGAGTAGGCCACAACTGCTGGGCCCCAGAGTTGCTGTGTGGTCATTGGACTGGATCTGTTGAAGTATGTTATTTATACTCAAAACTGAAAGGACAAATCAGTTGAATCAGAGCCAGGCATGTGCTGCACAGTGAGCCTGGAGCTCAGCGGGGGCCTGCGGAACTCTGTGGCCCAAGGACAGTAGGTTTTACTCAGATGGTAATTCAGAGTATCTATGTATCAAAACCCATAGTGTCCTATCATTACCCCTTGGCCCTCTCTGCCCCATTTAGAGATGGGTATGGCCATCCGGCTTTTCCTGCACCCCCCCGGAGTTAAGAATAATTTATTTGTATTTATTTATTTATTTATTCAAAACTACAAAGAGTCTGTCTAATCTTATCAAGTGTGTGTCTAATGTGCTTGTTGGGGGGGGGGGGGGGGGTTCACATGATAAGTGTGTGAAGCAGAAGCGTTAACAGGATGAAGTTTTCAGGTTACAACATCCGTGACATTTAGAACCCGACCACAGATTTGGGCCGCTCGTGTTGTTTTGGTGTCTGAAAATAGCCCCGAGTGTCGTGGTGTTGTCAGACAGGTGTGGAGCGGCTTGCTGCGCCGCCGTGGGTCATTACAGCTCGACTCAGGAGAAGTCGTGATGTGACGGGAGCGGTGGTGAAGGGGGGGGGGGCTCTGTCCTGGAGGTGCGTGAAGTGAGGTACGTGCGCGTACATAGAAACCCATGCGCACAGGGTTTTTCTCTTGTCAAGCCTAACAGACAAAACTAAAATAAGATCGGAAAAGAGATAATTAAACCTTCAAAATAAAAGCTTAAACCAAGTCCATTATGACTATTATTATTAATACTTCATTTGTTACTAATAGGCTAATTGGTGTCCTACTACTATGACTTCCCTCTATTTACACATCTACTAGGCTGTGTCAAAGAGGTAAGTATGGAAGCTTTTTCTGAGCATGACCATATTTTTCAGTATAAATAAGCAAAGCAAAAATATTCACAACGTGATTAAGAGGAAGAAAAGAGAAAAACAACAACAAAACATGTATGTAATATTTAACAACATCTAACAGCTACAAGGAACTAATACCATCATTTAAAACAAAAAATAAACACATGTACGAAAACAAAAGTGTGTGTTATAACTGATCAATATTATAAAGCAAGAGATAAATAAAAGAGACTAAAGAGAATTTAATGACGTATCAATTTATCTGATTACACTGTTTAGGCATCAATGAGTGTTATATTTTGAAATTGTCGACCAGAAGTCTTTTCTTTAATATTATGGCTGACTCTCTCTCTCTCTCTCTCTCTCTCTTTCTCTCTCTCTCTGTCAGTGTAAACTCAACAGGGTAAGGAAGGTTGAGCAAACGGGGGGACGGCGGGGGAGGGGAAAGGAATAAAAAGCTAGCGGCAGTCAGTCAGAGGTGTGGAGACAGGACGGACGGAAGAAAGACAGGAAAAGACGCGCGGTCCGCACGTGGAGGAACAAACGGAGCTTCACTTTCGGAGGAGACACACTGGAAAATAACCCCAAGTCCTCAGGAGTAGTTCGCTGCTGCTTCCTGTCTGAGTGAGATACAACAATGCTCCACGAGGAGCCTAATAGGTGACTGTTGGAGACACAGGGAAGACGCGCTTTGTCTTATCTTCGGTCACTGGTGAAGAAAAAGAAGGCAGGAAGAGGGCGCGCGGGGAGAGAGAGGGGTCATGGAAAACCTCTGGAGGAGGAGAAGGACGCAGGCGCTCAGATGGAAATGGTTGAGAAACTCGCTGCTGCTCTGTTTATTCACCGGTGAGTTTTTAGTTTCATCACTTTAAATCCTCTTCCACCTTTTCAAGCACCTACATGTTGAATGCTTGCCTTTTAATTATGCTTTAATGGCTCTTCTGTATGAGTAGTTCATGATGTGGCTCCTCCAGATTCAGATGAAATGGTAACGTGTTGGGAAACAACAGAAGGTCAGGGAAGTCTTTAAAAGGTTTTAATGTAGGAAACCACCACTGGAGATGACAGACAACACATGAAAACTGCTGGAAACTTTTCATCTGAGTCAAGGCTGTGGTGCAGTGCTGTGTGTGTGTGTGTGAGTGTGTGTGTGTGTGTGTGTGTGTGTGTGTGTGTGTGTGTGTGTGTGTGTGTGTGTGTGTGTGTGTGTGTGTGAAAAGGGGTGGGGGTGAAGGACATAGTGCCATTGTCTCCCAGCGTGTGGAGAGACAGGAGCCAGGACCTCTGAGGACCACCCAGACAGAGCAGAGCAGAAGTCTGCTGATGGGACCTCCCCACAGCTATTTACATGGAAATATCACAGCTTTTAAGCAGGGAGGTGGTGTTACATTAAAAAGGTGGGTTGGCTGCGACCTCCATTATAAAACAAACAGCCATCAAAACCTGCTCATATCATAAAAATATATTTTCTCTTTTATTTCCCCTTGGTGAATTTAAGTTGCAAAGACTCCCTTCTAGGAAAAGGGTTTTCTCTGCTGCACCCCCCACCCCTGCACTAACTAAAAGCCAGCACTCTTTCTTTCCTTAGTTTTCTACCTGTACGTGAACCAATGTTTTGAAATGTGCCTAAATGCCTCCAGGCACACATCATTTGACTGTGAGTGATTGCTGAGAGAAAGCAGACACACACATGTGCACACAGCTTGTTTTCTTTCAGTGTCCTTCATTTGAAGTGTGTCTGTTACTGTGAAAGACCTCAATCTTCTAGGTGACGGTGAGAAACGCAAAACTCATAGTTCATGAGGGGGTGGGGGCCTTCAGATGAAGAGGGCTCGTGTCATGGCAGCAGGTTGAGACGAGTACACAGAGAGGCACAGCTGTGTGTACAATGCTGTTGAATGCAGAGGCTTTGGCTGAGCGGGGTGAAGGTGAACCGCATTAATCACACAAACACACACAAGTATAGATCCTGCAAATGCCATGTCTGCTCGCAGCAGGAACTCGAGCGTTAGGTGTAAAATTATCATGCTGCATCATGAATTTCGCCAGTGTACAAGTGGTTAATGTTGGCTCTCGAACCGTTCTAATTTGACCCCCGCACAGATAACATGCCAGTCATTCTAATAACTTCCCACTCAAGAAGTAATTAATTCAGTTGCTGGATCACTGCGGCTCACGATCTGTGCACAGTTTTCGCACTGTCTGTCTCCGGGCACAGTTTTAAAGTAGCCTCCATCCACTCCTCAGCAGCTCTCACTGTTGCTGTTAAAGGGCGACTCCAGAAATTTAGTGTTACCATTCAGAAAGACTGGAGACTCACAGGAATGTGCAAAGTTGGAGAAAAAGAGGCTGAGATTTCTTTACCTTTGGTCTTTAGTATGGGTCAAGCTCCAAAAACAGAGGATCCTACACTTCCCATAATGCAGCTCTGCCTATGCTATTCAAAAATCCATGCCCCCAGGTTGTAACCAATGCTTTTTGTTTTCATTGTGTTCATTAGGTCTGTAAAGCACATTTATTTTCATATCAATTTATTTTCTCAATACATCAATTCAATGTTTGGAAAAATGACAGAAAATTGTAAAAAAAAAAATAGCCATTAACACAAAATCAACATCAAATTAATTAATTTCTTTGTGCGACGAACAGAAACCCAAATATATCCTGTTTTCACATTTCAAAATGTCGAAACGGTGTAAATGTGTTAATCGATTTAACGCCAATATGATCATTTGTTCCTTGGTCCAAGCCTGATCAATCTACCCAAGTTTCTTCATGGGTAGAGGAACCAAACAGCAAATGAGCAAAATCTGTCACAAAAAGACTTAAAAGCGGAACCAAACACGGCTCAAACTCATTAATAATGACATCTCATCTTAAGAAACGTGCTAATTCTTCAGGCTGTGTCATGCATTCGTCTGTCAGATTCAGCCAGTTTGCTGCCTACAGTGCTTGATTCAGCTGGTCGCCCATGTGGGCTGATTTGCTGCCTCAGTCAGCCCGGACATGGAAAAATAAATCATGCATGTCGACTATTAACGCAGCGAGATGCTGCATAGCAATCACATGGCAACGGCTGCTTGTTGCCATGTGATTGCTTGCTTGTTCCATATTATATATTAAAGGTGATCAGAAAGCTCTTGGGTCCATTTTTAATCTGAATTTGAGAAAAGAAGAAAATCACAAAAATTGCAGATGTAATTTAAGCCTTTGTGTTTCTGAGGGAAATCCTGTGTTTGAAAGAAGAAATGGAAAGCTTCCTCTCAGTGCTGTAAGTGGAGACTTATTTAAATCTCCTAGCGGCTGTAATTTGTGTCCTGACGGATATTTAAAAAATCTAAAATACGGTAATACAGGCTAGCAGGGGTGGCTGGGTTTATTAGAACGAAATCCAGTGTCCCTGTGTGAGTTCACCACAGATCTTTTTTTATTTTATTTCCCCCGGAACACGCCACAGGTATTGATAGTTTCTTTTTAAAAGTGTTTCTCCAGTTCTCTGAGCTCATAATAAATCAACTGTCTTGATGCTTAAACTCTTTGAAGTTATAAATAGAGGCTGCTGGTAGAAGTTGTGTGCTTTGAGGTTGGTTCATGAAAGATTTCATTATAGCATTCAAGTTTAATTTTTCATCGAGGGGAAAGGTTTAAAAAGTTCCACATATAACAAGACCCGACTTAATAGTTTCTTTTATTATTGGCACATAAAACATGAAATATGTCTGTGCTGTGGAGTTTTGGTTTTTTCCTATAACCTTGTTCAGCTGAAAAACAGCATTAACCTGGATTACTTCACTGAAGAGCTTATGTGTGTGTTGCAGGAGGTGCTGAGGCCCAGTGTGAAGGCTGTATAGAGTATTGCTGCGATGGATCGCCGCCTTTCTGCTGCTCCTACTACGCCTATGTGGGGGACGTCCTCTCGTAAGTTAACGCACAGACATGACAAGCTAATTAAGACCGCGGAGACAACATGGCTGTCATGTCAACTGATGTGTTATTCACTGTCGAGAAAGAAACTTCAACATTTCCAATAATTCTAAGTGGCAACTTCCCGTCATCTCCTGAGCTCACCTCTTTGTGGCTAAGTACAGCTCAGCACAAAATACAAGGATTGCCTTTGACAAATCTGTTTGTCAAGTACCTTCATGAGGATAAAATGGTGGATGACTCAAGGTCTCAGTGCAGCTGCCCACACATTACTGAAAAGCCCAAGTCACCTTCATCAAATGGATTCTTTTTTTTGCATTTTCAGCTCTGTGACAGATATGGAAATGTCAAAAAACAACCCATATATGGTGCGATTGGCTATTGGAAGCAAAGAGAGCAGTGTTACCTCATCTAAGGTGTAACAATCTATTCAGCCACTCTTCTCACCAATTATTTTCTCTTTTTTCACCAACCTCCATTAAACTTAGAGAGGGGGTTGAGAGAAGAGCTTTTCTGATTTTTCTCATTTCAGTGTAAAACTTGATCTGCACACACCTGTAGGTTTGGTGCCGTTCTGTTTCTGTGGGCAGATAACGACTAACTCACATACCAGCTGTCTTTTAATGTGCCAGAAGAGTCTTTAGAAGATCTGACCTTTTGACCTCTTCCTGACTTGATTCAGCACAGCTGCTTTCACACTTTCACCTAGTTCTCAGACTTCTGTTTCCTTCGAGAAAAGCTGTGTCTGTTTACACAAGCTATACAATATTGGTGATCCGTGTGTATTTGGAATCTCTTGTTGCAGGATTGTATATTTACACTAATATTTTTAGGGCAACATCTTGAATGACTTGGAAAAAGTCAGTGTGCTGCTCTTGAAAACAGCGAGGGCTGAATCTGACATGCTGACTAATGCTGACTATGAAGACGTAACAAACCTGTTAATGATGCCTGTTTTTCTATTTTACAGTGCCAATTCACAGACTCCTCTGCAGTGCAACACACCACACACACCAGCGCACACACGCTCTGTCACAGTGCCACACATTTTGCGTGCACACACACACACACATCACACAACTGAGTTACATCAGATGCTGCAGTCCATCTCCATGGCAGAAACTTAGAAGTATTGGTAGCATGTCTGCTTGAGACAGCTGCCTCCTCTCACACTTGCCTGGGTGGCTCACAATGTGTTTTCGTTTGTGTGTGTGTGTGTTTTCCAGGGGCACTGCCATCTCCGGTATCGTTTTCGGCGTGGTGTTTTTGATGGGGGCAGTGGCGGCCTTGTTCCTGTGCGTGTGCATGTGCATGAAGAATGGGCGGGGCGCACGGGTCGGAGTGTTCAGCACCTCCTACATCAACACTGTGACCCAGGGCTATCCAGGTGGGGCTAAAGGAACACACACACACACACACACACACACTTTTAAAGGATATACACAAGCCAAAAGTTTCCCATTATAGTCGATTTGTTAACAAAACATATTCATAATAATCACTTTTCTGATTTATTTAGCATTAATTATCTATTATTATGGACAAAGTGTTGGTTATAACAAGTGTGACTTATTAAAGGAGCTGTGTGTAAGTTTTGCTGTGACTACATAACCAGCGTCAGCATTAAGAGCTGTTTACCTAACAGTCCAAAAGAAAGGTAGTGAGTTCGGTGGAAAGCAACCCTCTTGTTTTCATTAGCTTAATCAATAGTGAAAGTAATCATTAGTTGCAGCCCTTCTTTGTTGAGTATGACTTATCAGAGACATTTATTAGTGGCTTTGTTGTGACTAACTACATTTTACACACAGAGTGGAGCATTACACATGTTCTGTTACAGTGAAACCTTATCTCCTGACCTCAGGCGATCAGAAAAAAGAGAAAACAACAGATGTTTTCAAAAAAAACAAAAAAACATAGGTGTAAGGTGTCATGGGGTTCGCCTTGGCCTTGAGCATCTTTCTGGACTAGTAACACCACGAGAGAGCTGATTGTTTTCAGAATGTAACGGCTTCAGACCATCGTCACTGAACCATGAGCTCTGTTCAGGCATAACTGCCTTTTGAAATTCACATAAAAACACCTCATTTCCCTGCTTTTGTTCCCACTGCCTCCTACTTCAGCGTGTCCTCCACTCTCGCCGTTTCACATCTGTTACACCCTGTTCCCGCTTGAAGGGATGAAGCGGCCACAGTGTTTCCATGTTTTCCTTGCAGGTACTTTTGTCAGCACATCAGAGTCCTGTGCGACTCCCTCCAGCCCCAGGAACGTTGTTTTTTTCTGGGTCTCATCATTTATTTATCCCGTTTCATTCTCCTCGGTGTATCGCCTTCATGCTACGCTGGACCGCTACTCTTCGCTCTGACCCGCAGCTCTGATCATGTTTCATAAACACGCTCAAACATACAAAGCGATGCAGTATGAATGAAAATGTATGTAGGTACAGTGATATGAATTATTTTGTATCTTGACACTAGATGTGAGGTGCTGCTGTGCTATTATTTTCCCGCACCACTACCACAAACATGAGTTGATGTATATTTCCTCATGATCTTACCTGAGCTTCACAACAGTTTTCAGATCAGCAGTGGACACTGTAACACAGCTTCTCCTTTAACATGACAGACTGTGAGCTATTGATAATAATAGTGATAGAAATGTGAGGTTTTGCTGATGTGACCCTTCAGTTTGGAGCAGGATTTGACCACCTACATTCATCTTTTCTTTCATCCCGACTGCTTTGATTTTTCAGTGGATAATGTAAGCACTGATGCATTGTGGTCAATAAAACTACTCCGTGGTGCAACATTTTTGACCTTCTCCAGTGTCTCCCTCAAGAGTGTACAGTTCCTCAGTTCAACCACTAGAGGGCGTAACTATTCCATCGAACTCCTTGTGAAATGGGGGCAGGTATCCTGAGCTTAAAAAGGCCTCATTCACCTTCAAACACACCAAACAACATGAAGTTTGGAAGAAAAAACATGCTTTAAATCTAACAAATGCTTCTTTATTTCTTTCTGTTTCTTGAACTTAGGTCCTCCACCTCCGTACTCCTATGACTACGAGATGTACCCTTCCTCCCTGCACCCTCCGCCTTACACCCCAACTCAGCCCCGACCTGCAAACTACTCCCCTCCTCCTCCTTACCCTGGCTGCACCCGCAAGTGAATCCCTGCTGCACAGATCATCCTCTGGCCAGCTCAAAGGGAAACTGTCATGGCCCTGTTTCTCAGACCTGGAGATGTCTGAACACCTCTGGCCTCTGCAGCACTGGTGTTGCTTATTTGGGTTGAAGACAATTCTAGGGATTAAAATAAAAAAAAAATCCACATTAAAACAAAAAGGGAGGCCCAGTGCACTTTTGTTCAGCTGGAGTCTGGACCGAATGGTGGGGGGAAAAAAATTATAATTTAACAAGCTGTGGGTCTGGATGTCTAACGAGGGCCACAACACGTGCATGTCCTGATAACTGTTAGCAGCCCTGCTAGCCTGCAGCTGGTACTTTTTTCCCCACTAATAACCAATATCCTTATCCGTTCCCGCCTGTGCACATCAAAGGCAGCGTGCTACTTTGATGAAGGTGAAGACTACTTTTGTCAGCGTGGGGGGGGGGGCCTCGCAGGAGAAAAAGTCCAGAAGACAATGTAGTTTTTAAAGACATGATTTATGCCAGTGAATGAGGTGGAAGTCAATGATTAAAGGTGTTTTAAAGAAGTCAGAGCTGTCATGTGTACAAAGACTTGAACATAATGCATAATATTACTGACCTTAAAGGTGTGGACAACTTGAAAGGAGTGGGTTGTTGCCTTACTTGAAGCAATGTGAGGGTGAAAACTGAACTGGGGGTCACATTACGTTCAGCTGAACCAAAATGGATTCTCTTTGAAAATGAAAAATTGTAAATCTTTTGCCTTTTGTGAGATTCTTGAAAATTGTGAAGCATTCATCATTTGAACTGTTTGTAATTACACGTGAATTGACCTGATTCATGTGATGGGTGACTGTGAATGATGGAAGAGATTTAACTGTATTAATCATGTGTCAGGTAAATCATTTTTCAAGTGTTTCCTTACTGTGTCAGCGGCTGTATTGTAAATTAAAGATGTAATTAAAACGTGACTTTAAAAAAAAATATGAACATTAACGTCTACAGTCTGTATTTATTCACGTGAATATTCAACAGTGTACTCGTGCGTAAAGTGTGAGCGATAAACTGTGTGTGTGTGTGTGTGTGTGTGTGTGTGTGTGTGTGTGTGTGTGTGTGTGTGTTAATCCCACTCCGCTGTGGTCAGGTGATCCTGGGGCTGAGCAGCTGTGCAGCCTCGGTATCACTCACCATCAGACAACGGGAGTCACCGGCGCTGCTGAACACACTCGGTTTCTCACCCGACGCAAACGTTAAACTGCTCGGTGAAACGCTGCTTGTAGGAGCGTCGTGTCAGCGAAACGACATGGGGGACCGAGTGGCTTTACTGCTGCTGGCGGTAGCGGCTTCGGCTCTGACTGCCGAGGTAAGAAAAATACCGTTTTTTTGTGAGAGAATTTGTAGTATTTTCCACCATATTGTTGCAGTCAGCAGAGTCAAGGTAGCCACAACAAAACCGGAAGAGGAGCACTTGTACCTTCAGAATTAAAGCTTACAATACGTTTGAGGGGGTGAGCAAGGAGATAATTCATAACCAGGCAATTTAAATTTTATCAAATGAAGTAACTAAATTGTATAAAACAATAAATAAACAATGACTATACGACATTTAACGTATCTATCTACTGTTGCTTGTGCCATTTACAATATAGCCATTGTCAGTTAAATTAGTTATGGTAACGATGCGAAAATTACTTATGTAAAAACAAAAATATAATTTTCATGAAAATATAAACCCCTCGTAATGTTCAGGTTGGTACATCTGACACTTACATCAAGTGTACATGAATTAAAAAAACTGCAATTTGTTTGCCTGTCGTTTTATGATTAAGGTTTTAACCGGAAGTGTCGTTGAAAAACCTAGCTAGCTTGGCAGTGATTGTTAACACTTTATAATATACTGTTTATAAACCAGATAATACGCACTGTTTTTCACAATATTTTGAAACCAGTGAGATATTTTGTTAGCATTTGCCATTGTTTTATTCGTAGTTATTTCCCCAGAAGCACGAAACGTTGATAAATAACACGTATTTAATTTAAATACCCCCGTTTCGAGGCACTCCGTAATGTCTTTTCTCGGGCTAAGTCTCCCTTTAAGCCGATGGTAACTGATTTATTGAGACTATGTGACAATAGAGAGAATGTCCGACACCCCTGATTTAAAACTGCACCCACAATTTGTCCTTTTTCTTTTGTCAAAACGAGAAGCAACTTGCTTTTCTCTGATTTAAAATGTTACACAAGTTGGGTTTGTCAACAAATTATTCACCCTCAGTAATACTGCGCAATGTTACTGGATGTTGCTGTTATGAAAAGGTTATTTACTGGTCATTAAGGGCAATTTAATCTGGTTAAAGTCATTACAGTAACTAAATGACAAGCGTATTGTTTCATTTTCCATATCCCGAGGGCTAATATTAAGGGAGTGGGCGTGTTTTGGGAATGATAATAAGTCAATAAAGCGTCTTGTTGTCTCGTAATGAGTACTTGACGCCTGATTCTGGTTTAAACAAAATAAATGAACCCGTGAAAATGACCCTATCCATGGAAAACTAACATTATTAACGCTCTCCCACATATTTCAGTCAGATGGTAGAGAATAGAGAAGTAAGATGGCGGCGGTGCACTGCAGCATTTATCGAGGGTCGGGAAACTGGGAAGCCAACAGGAGCTTTGATCATCATTGCTGCTTATTCACACTCGTTTTGTATCTATTGTGCAGCTTTGTGTAATAGTAGACACATTGTAAATATGTGATATTCTTAATATTGCCTTTACAGTGGACCTAGTTTCACATAATCACTGCTCATCCATTTTTCAAGCGTCTTCACCAAGAATATCGCTTTGTGAATAGCATATACACTGCAAAAAATATCTGTTTTTAACATATCCTTTTCTTGATATTGTAGTAATATGTCACGAAAATGTGCAATTTTTTTTAAATCAAAATCAGCCATTTACAGCACATAGACGTGTTATAATGTCACATCATCATTCTCATTTGTGTAATGATTTCCATACTGTGGACCAGTAAAGCTTTACTTCCCTTTTTTTGTAAGGCAGGGTACTACAATGTGTGTTAAGAAAATTCCCCAAACAAGTGAAGCAACGTTTGACTCAAGGGGATTTCCCCAAATGGGAAGTCTTTTTTTCACTTCTTTTAATGACTGATTGTACCATTGTAATAGGTCATGCTACTGATGTGACTTTACTTAGGGTGGATATTATTTACAGTGTGGCCATGTTGGGAGATAAATTACACATTCCTATGACCACCAGTAGCCACATTGTTTCACATGGGACCTGCAATTGTGGCTGAGGAGCAGCTGCAGCGTTTGGATCTCCAATTGGAGCAATTATAGCTTTAAAACACAATAAAGGTGTTATTGAGATAGATCAATATTGCCAGACAATGGCTGTTATACTCCTTTCAGGCCTCATTGTTTTGCTGTCTTGGACATTTTTGAATCTGTTTCCTTGAGATGAATCAGGTGAGATGTGGCAGCTGACCTTCTTGATTTCCTGCACGTAGTCTATAATCAGTGCAGTTGGAATGAATAGTTTGGGCTCCACATCAAGCAAAGCATCTGCTTTGTTCGTAATCCATTGCTTACATTGCTTAAGACAATCTTTACCCTTTGAGCCATGTATTTACATTATCAACATCAAAGGCAGAAGTGATGAAATGCGATAGAAGACAGAAGAAAGAAGAAAAAGCTTAAAATTTGAGGAATAATATCAGTAAGATTAAATCAGACTTGAAAATGAGATGTTGCAAGTTTTTGATCTTGTTAGGGCTTGTTAATAGTGTTCATTACTGCCCCATACAAACACACACTTCCAAACACACAGCTCTAGGAAGCTGTTTTTTCCTGATGGGCCCGCCCTATACACGCAGGCTGTGGTGTGGAGCGTGGGAGTTGGATGCCAGCCTTTGTGTATTTGTAAATCCTTGGGAAATGGCTCTTGGATGGGTGCAGGCAGTCTGTTTGTGTGCATACTGCAGTCTTTCAGCCTGGGGCGGACTAGCCCTCTCCCCTTATTAGTGAGTCTTAATGCCATTATGCCTGTTGGCACTGCCAGCGTTTCTCTCTCTGGCACCTTCTCTGCTGCTCACGCTGCAGTTTCAATCCGCTGAAGGAGAAATCCTCCGACACTAATATATCTCCTCTTGCTTTCCACTTTCTTACTTTGCTTTTTATTGTATCCACTTTCACCTGCCTCACCTGTACTTCTCCTCCAGTTTGTAATTTTACAGAATGGCATCCGACAACCCCCAGAGACTGAACTCTGTGCTTAACCCAGGACTCCCGCAGTACTTGTAGGTAGAAAAGCAACAACAAAAGTGGTGTGAGACTGTTTGCAGTTGAGAAACCTCTTCATCAAAATTCAGTATGTCTTATGGCTGTGCTGTTTGCAGGTCAGCTGAGGCTAACATCAGTGAATAATTCATCCATCTTGTAATATCACATCTAGGTAATCTTTTTAAGCAGAAGAAGACAGAAGTTCAGCGGCTCTGGGTTCTCAAATGAGAATATTTTCTGGCTTTCTTAGTACATGATGTGCACACGCATAACATAACTTTGGATTTTGAACCATTGGTTGGACAAGATAAGATATTTTAAGATGTCTCTTTTTATAGACAAAACGATTACCTAATTAAATTGTTACATTAATTGATAATGAAAATAATTGGAGCCCTAGTCACATCAACTGTATTTGGCCTCCTCTTGGTAAACAGTGAATATTGTCCTCATCTCTCTTTCCAGCGCTCCCTGTTTTATTGTCTCGCTCTGATTTTCTGTTTTTAATCTTTCATGTCCAACCAGTGGTGCAAAGAGTTGGCTATAAAATTTCCTTGTTCAAACAGCACACATTGTCCATCTTGGTTGTGTCAACAACAATGACACCGCAGCGCTCCCAATTAATGTTCCCCCTGCATCCCCCTCTGTCTGTCCTGGAGAAAAGAATTCCTGACCTTTTGATACTGTTGTCTCTATTGTCATGGTGCCTGGAAATGGTAGGACGCTGATGTGCTTGCTGTCTTTTGGAGCTGCCTTTCCATTGCTTCTCTTCTGACACCCTAGATAACACATAGGTTTCCCCAGTGGTGATGTCAATCAGCTGTTCATCAAATCTGAGAGCAGTTTCACCTTGCCTCGTCTTTGCATCTTAACTTTCTTTTTTGTCTCTGTTATCGTCATTCTCACAGTCCTGAGTCGTCTGTGTGCGTTCATGTTTTCCTACTGACATGTAGCATCCCCTCTTTTCAAAGTATGGTAGGAATCAGGTCAGGCTGATTTCAGCGGTAACAGACCAGTGCGTAGCTCAAAGGCCGGCTTTGTGCAGTGCAACCTGGCCTCTCAATGAAACACTGTGAATAAATACCAGAAGGTTTGCTTAGATCCAATAAGCATCTAATAGCATCAGAATAAACCTGAGGTTCCTCTTCTGTCGACTGAGGAGAAGATTCAGATTCAGAGTGAAGGTCTGAATGGAGCTGTTGCTTATAGATGTTTAATACTCAAGTGCAAGCAGCACAGACTAAAGTCTGACATGCTGGTCAATGAGGAGGTGCATCAGACACTGCTTTGACAAGTATCGATGACCAGTATTGGGATCAGGATCAGGTCAGGAACCCTACTGACTGACTGTCATGAAGAGCTTACCAGTGTCAGACAGATATCGCCAAGTTGCAAAGAGAAAACCTTTAAATGGGTGTCTGTTGAGTTATGTTATAGTCTGGTTGCATTAATGTGGCTTCATTGCCAAGACAATGTAGATTATAATAATGTGGCGTTGCAGGTCCTTTTGAAAAGCCTCCTCTTCATCTTGTTCACCTCTTCCTCTCATAATTAGCTCTAATAGTTCAAACATGTACGCAGCGCTAGCTTTATTACTTCGTATCCTTCAGGGAACACAACATTCCCCCTCCCACTTCTCGACTCTCCCACCAGGCAGCACCATTCATCACCATTGAACTGTTATTTCCCTCTGTAAATATCAGCAGTGCGCCATGAAGACACACTCTTCATTTCACCACTGCTGAGTAAGCAGCTGTTGATACACAATCTGAATAATAAGCCGAGAAACCAGTTGCCCTGACCTGTGCAATTACTCAGCAGCAGCAGCGGCAGCACCGGGTGCATCCAGCTTTCACTACATCAGTGAGGAAGCTGCACAAAGCCTCCATCTGGAAGCATCTTCCTGCTATCGCTTGTCAAGGCATCAATGCTGCAGTGCTTTTATAGCCACACCTCCATTATAAGTGCTGTTGGCATCGTGTGTTGTACATGTCCTGTAGATATGTTTGGTGTGTGCGTGTGAATGACCTATTAAAATATAATCAATAGTGTGATAATC